ACACACACACAACAGAGCTGATATAAAAATCTTGATTCTGCTCCCAGTTTGGGCTTTATTACAGCTGAAGGATGTTTCCTCTATAAAAGAATTCTCTATTGAATCCCCCGAGAAGAAATATCTGTGCAAGTGTTCACTCAGGTGGGCTCATGTTTATGTGCAAAACAAGTTTGTCTTCCTTGGCAGCTAAGCTGTTTAGCTGTAGAACTGTAGCCAACCCAGAGGCTGTATGCGCGCTGGAAATCTCTCTCTCTCTGTCATCATCTAGTGCTGACTAGGGTGTGTTCAGAAATTTCTCAGGCAGTCACCCCACAACCATGTTTGTACTCAGTCCATTTAAAAATCTTAAAGCAAGTGTTTGTAACTCATAGCCGAGGGGTCTTCAAAAATATCTGTTGTAAGTTCTAACACTGTGCTATCATGGACAGAAGTGCATATCTACAGATGGGGAGCATTTACACCAATAAAACAAGCATACTGTGTCGCTTACTCCCGCCCACCTTTTCTGAAACTCTGATATGATTCATACACGATCAAGTGATCATGTCATCCTTCCACTTAGGGCGAGACCCTGAACAGGTCACCAGTTTGCTGCAGGCCTAACAAGGACAACCATTCACACTCACAGTCACACCAATACATGCAAACAAAGGGAGAACGTCCAAACAGCACACAGAAAGCCCCCGGCCAGACAGAGGATTCAGATCTTGGACCCTCTTGCTGTGAGGCATTTGGGAATTCCTCCCCTAAAATAGTATTTCTACAATAAACTTTTACCCGTGAACACTCTTTAGAGTTCTTATCTGGATTAAAAACCTGTGGCTGGGGGATTTTACAAGAAGGCCTGGTGGGTGGTGCTAGGTTTAGTCACAAACCAATGACGGACAAATTCAAATTCTGACCAGCCCCTATGCAAAATATGGGACTGAGCGGCTGATTAACACTGTCATCCATTAAACCATCACAAGCAAGAGCTTTGTTGCTGCTGTTGTTGTCTAAGGAGAGACAACCAGACCTCCCTCTGCCTGGCCACGTCCACGCAGGATTTCTTGGGTCTTCCGAATAGGACATGCCCAGAACACCACACATAGGAGACCTCCAGGACACATCTTGGTCAGATGCCTGTACCACCTTAACTGGTTCTGCTTCAAGTTGTTCTAAATGACTTAAAACCTCACCCCATTACTAAGGGAGAGACCCTCCACTCTTGCAAGGAAGCTGATTTCCACCACTTGTACCCATTATCTCATCCTTTCTGTCACTGACACCAGCTTATGGCCACAAGCGCTAGGAGCACGGGTCAACCAGGAAATCAACAGCTTCTCTTTTATTTTCAGCTCCGTCTTCACCACAACAGACCGGTACAGCTTCTGCATGACCCCAGCCACAGACTTTTCACGCTCCTGCCGTCCGGCAGGCAATTCGGGAGCATTCAGACTCGCACTAGCAGACACAGAGACAGTTTCTACCCACAAGCCATCAGGCTTTTGAACTGCTGACATTCTATACACACCATTACACACTCACTATAATTACAGGACTCTACACACTGGCACTTCAACAAATGCCACTTAAATGCTCATGCACAAGTTTTGCACAACCTGTAAATACCAACTTGTCTTAAATTCTCTAAATATTTAATACTTTTTTCCTCTCTTTTTTCTCTTTTATCATTATTATTACTGCTATTTTCTGTTATTTTCTTCTTAATATAACTGCAGACTTTCTATATCCTCATGTAAAGCTGAGGAGCTCGAGCCAAAGAATTTCATTATGGGTAAATGTGGCTACACTGTTTATCTGTACATGACAATAAAACTTGAAACTTGACTGCCAGTGCCACACTAGTTCATCTGTCAATGTCCTGCTACACTCTTCCCTCACAAGACCCCTGAGATACTTAAAACTCCTGCACTTGGGACAACAATCCACCACATCAAAGGGTGGGCAGTTCACCCTTTTCCGCCTGAGAACCATGGCCTCAGACTTGGAGGTGCTAATTCTAAACCCAGCCGTTTCACGCTCGGCTGCGCCGCCCCGGTGTGATTTCGATTTTCCACGCTGTCAAACTCACCTCTATGAAAATGTTGCCATTTGTGCTTTTATCCAAAAATAATCTATCTGCCCACACTCTCTGGGTCAATCAGCCTCCATTCAGGCCCCTGTTCAGTCCTTTAAATTCGCTCTGTAAAGTCTCCCTTTCAGGCCGCCCGTCGTGCAACCCTCCTCCTCCCCGTCTCTACATCATCCAAGTTTTCCAGGGCATCTCATCCAAAAGTGCTCAGCAGCCATCTGCTTACTCTGCTCCACAAGCAGTGTATGTGACTCCTGTGGGTCCAACCAATCTCCTACCATAATCTGGGAATCTGCTCCATGATGTCGCCTCTCATTTGAGTCTAAATTTGCATATTCATATTTTTTGTAATAAATCTCATTCTCTTCTTCCAGATGATCTCTCCTTACTGGAATATGTGCATCGCTGTTCTACTATCAGGGCCTGCAAATTCAGTGAAAACACATCAATTCAACACCTGATCTTTGTGTGCTTACATGATTGTTTAAGGCTGAACGTGCTTCTGCACACTTATCACCGCATGGATCACATTAACATCCATCCATCATCTCCTATTTTCCCCCCTTCCTCTGCTTGACCTCAAGGGAGATCCCCCAAACGCTGACCAGTGCACTTGATGTTACAGAGCTTGATTACGTCTCCCCCTTCTCATTTAAGGAGGTTCATCTGACATATAATCTCGCATAATCAGAACTTCAAAGCTTTTCGATCATACACATCTCATAGTTATGACTCAGACCAAAGATTAGCGTGTTGTGTTTGGCTGCCGGAACACGAGATGATAAATTGCAGGCTGGCTTCAATTTAGCCGACACCTATGTTACTGTCAATAACAAAGAGAGGTTTCCAGATTTCAGCTGACATTTCTGTGTGTTCACTTTCATCATCTGGGAAGTATATTTCATATCCCAATCAACAAGCTGAACAAGCGAATCATAAAGATGAGCCCAGACAGAAAATTGGAAAAATCCTCCAAAGCTGTGCTGTGAATGTTCTGAAGCACCATCAGAGTTGAATTCATTTAAGCAGGATTTGACAGTTTGATGACACCAAGTATTTTTTTTACCTGTTCTTTCAGATAGCAGAGGCGATCGAGGAGAATCAGACCTTCAATACAGGGAGCAAGGGTCACCTTCAGCTGTAGAAAGAGGCCGACATGAGAGAAAGCACATGTGTATATCTTTTTTTTTTTTTTACTCTATTTGACACATATGCAAAACTTGTGTCTTCCAAGTAGTCCGCAATTCCCCAAAACCTATTTTACTGGTTTGTGTCATGAAAGAAAACTGGTATGCTGGCTGACATCACAATTAGTGGCCTCAGAAAAGAAGAGGGAAAAAAGTGGGTGGTTTTCTTCTCGTTCAGAGCAATCACTCTCTCATTATTTCCCCGTAGAATACAATGACCTCACTTAGTGGTCTGTAATTTTTTTTCTTTTTACAGGATAAAAAAGATTTTTACACAAAAAAGGGTTTAAACATGTTGTTGGAATCTAAGGTGGGAATTAAATACTAGGATGCTCGACAGGGAGAGAACCAAGACGTATGGAAGACTTACCATGTTAAAAGCATGCATCTCATCCATTCGCACTCTGTATGTGTTGTGATAATCCTGGATGTCGCTGTCAGAGAGCTAAAGAGAGAGTGACGTGTTATATATGCAGGTAAAAGAGAGGAGAATGACAAAAAAAGTTGGAAGCAAGCTGTGAGGGAGATGTGAAGTGGGACAAGTGACAGAAAATAGCATGTTTTTAAAGAGCTGTGAGAAACATGGGACAGACAGACAGCGCGCCATCGCCCACTGTTACCCAGAGCAACCAGATGACAGACTTCTCAACAGTGTGAAAGATCCTATACTAAGATCCTGTACTATACTATACGATACGACACACTCTATTGTTAACCTAAATCAACCTGTTAGGTTTTTACTTATATCCTGTCACATACATGCTGTTAGAATGATTGTTGCTTAAATTTTCAAATAATGAGATCAGCAAATGTGAAAGTAATCCCTGAGAGGCAAAAGCTCAGGCCTCATCTACACGCAGCCTATGATGTCGGCTTCACAAGTGGCTAAAGCTGTTGCTAGCATTTATATCTGTGGAGGCTGCACTGAGTGTGACGTGTAGTTAGATTCCTATGGAGCTGCACATTAGGTCACAGTGCAGTAGGTGCAGATGTATAATTCCACTGTCAGACAGTCTTTTTTTGTACTTATGGCTCTGTAAGATGTCAAAACATCTGGGCCTATCCAGCTGCTGATTGGCTGGTTGGGACTGGCCCCATGCAGCCAATCAGAAGACCAGCTGGATCAAAGGGAGGGTGGCCTTAAAGAGAGAGGAGCTTAAACAGCTGAGAATGAACTCAGGGACTACAACAAGGGTCAGTATAAAACAAATAAGGATAATTTTGAATTGTGAATTATGCAACGCTTCTCTGTTTGAGGTCATGAGTAAAAATATGGATTGGAAATGGTCCACTTACTGAGTCTAGCTCTAACCTAAATCTGTAGCTGAAAATGCAGAAGGACAGTGTGTTTATTTCTTTTCTTGTGTGTTTGTGGAAGGTGTAAAGATGAGTGTAATATTCTGCTCCCGACCTTTGATTCATCCAGTTCCAGTCTGCGCAGAGCTCGCCGAACGTAGTCCACAAATGACTTTGCTTTGGAGTAAACATTCCCAACTCGCTTTTCACTGTGGAACAAACATGTTTCTGCTCAGTGATGCACTCACACCTCAGCAAATGTTTCTAAGGATTAAACGATGAGGAATAGCTGGTGTTTGGGGAAGACTAATGGGTATTCAATGCTGATCTGATGAAGGTCAAAGGTCAGCAGGCAGGTTCTCTTTGATGGTGTCTGGAGTGATAATATTTTGATAAGAGTAAACTGAGGTCTGCAGCATTTCCTTCTATTGTTTGGCTTTGTTGGGCAGATACAATCAGTCACTAAAGATGTGCACCACACTGGCTGAAAGGCCTTACAGTATAGGGAATGGAGTGAGAATGGGCTGGGGTGTAAAGCAGCAGCTACTCTTTGGATAGCAAGGTGAATTAAGGACAACCTGAAGCTTGAAGGATACCTGCATATTCTGCCTTAATTGCTACCAGATGGTGTTAAGAATTTCTATTTTTTACAGTATTTCTAGTAATGTAGAAAATGTACAAATGTTCATTAAAATACCAAAAATCCACAACAAACACTAGAAAATTCACAAAGAAAAAAGGAGATGTGGAGTTTAGCAGGAATTTTTAACTTAAAATGCATAATCAAGAACCACTGCCAGTCTAAACATGTTTCTGTGTGTGTTATGACGCTGCCTTCTCATATATGTGCCCATATTTTGGTACCTTTATTTAAATTCTCTGTAGGCAACGGCTCACCTTTTTATTCCTAGTAGTTTTGTGGATCTAAGTAAGTCAGTTACGGCATGTATGTCCAGTTAGTCTCGCCACCACTTTGGTCGAAAGAGAAGTTTTATAGAAATGATTCTCAGAGTACAAATTTTAATGATTTTACTGGCTTTTTTTAGACTGTTTAATGGACTGCTATGAAATTTGGTACATTCACCTTCCCATCAGTATATATTGGAATGACTTTGATTGCATTAGCATTAGAGTCCCATCATCACTTTAATTGTCATTTTTGACCAACTACTGTTGTGTTTAGTGCTACCAGTAACTGTTACAATGCTAACTCTGTATAATAAGATGATAAGCATGGTAAACAGTATTTACTCTTGGACAATTTATTAAGTACACCAGTTCAAATGCTCTTTAACGCAAATATCTAATCAATCAAACAAGGTAATAATTCAACGACTTTAGGTTGAAGTTTAAACCAAGCATCATAATGGGGAAGGTGATTTTAGGGACTTTGAACACGGCATGGTGATGACCTCCTCTGAGATGGGATTTTCCCACACAACCATCTCTAGGGTTTACAGAGAATGGTCTGAAAAAGGAAAAATATCCAGTGAGCAGCAGTTCCCTGGGTGAAGATGTAGTTGATGCCAGACCTCAGAACAGAATGGCCAGGCTGCTTTTGGGTAACAATAACCCAGCTAGCCACTAATTACTACCAAGGTATGCAGACGAGCATGCCAACACATCAAACTTTGAAGCACATGAGCTACTGAGAAAACTTGGTCTGATGAGTCTGAATTGCTGCTGTGATATTTGAACAGTGAGGTCAGAATTAAGTGTAAACAACATGAAAGCATGGATCCATCTTCCTTCGTGTCAGCAGTTCAGTCTGGCATTGGTTTAATGGTGTGGGGGGGATACGTTCTTGGCACTTTTTGAGTCTCTTATTGCCAACTAAGCATCATTTAAATACCTAAGCCTAGCTGTGTATTGTTGCTGACCGTGTCCACAGCATACCTGCTTTCTGATGGCTGCTTACAGCAGGATAGTATGCCATATCATAAAGCTCAAATCATCTTAAACTGTTTTTTGAACACAACTTTGAGTTCACTGTACTAAAATCGCCTCCACAGTCACCAGATCTCAAACAATCGGAGCACCTTGAGATGTGGTGGACTAGTAGATTCATATCACACATGTGTAGCCGACAAATCTGGAGCAACTGTGTGACACCATCGTGTCAACATGGGCCAAAATCTCTGAGGAATGTTTCCAGCTATGTTATGTGTTAGCGCAGACAGTATGAACATATAACATAGCTTATGTTAGCATTTAGATTAAAGCAGCATTGTCCTATGTGGGGTCACGCTGCATGTAGTAGGGAATGTTCCTATTTTTTGGCAAATAATACCTGCAAGATCAGGAAACTGGTTTATTAATCAATTTTTTTTAATGTTTCCTGTACTGAAAACATCACTATAACACTGAAGGGTAATGATCTTTGAACATTTTCTGATCAAAACATTTGTAGCTGTGCTCTAGCCGCTAGAATTGCCATAGGTTACCTGCTTGGAAACAAAAGACTTTTTCCTGTCGGTTCAATTTCTGTCCACTAACTGATCTATAAGTAAACTTCAAGCTCATTTGAACCCTCAAGTCTATTATTCATTAGGCCTGATACAACAATACACCCAAATCTGGCCAGGAATTGAGTACATATGGCTTTTGCTGGCAAGTCTTGGGTCATTTGTAACCTAAACAAGCCAGAGAGAGAAACCTTTCACTTCTGGTTCACAACAAATAAAACAAAACCTTTGGACTACTATCAAAGCTTGACACCTGTTCTGTTCTCACTCATTCTAACCAAACATAGTTGATACTGTACACACTGACAGGGGGAATGGGAAAAAAAAAGGTCTTAAAAAATTACATGCATTTGCCCTGATTTCTCATACTCCACTAGAAATCCGCTGGTCCAGATGTGAATTCCTGTAGATTACCTTTTATAGGAGCTGTAGTGGTCCCTCAGAATAACATGAAGGACTGCTCGGTAGAACAGAGATTCCATCTGAATCTGCAGGGAAGGACAAAGCTGTTTATTTGAATTAAGATAACTCAGCTTTTACAGTGAAAAACTTTTTTTTTCCTTCACCAAACATGTGTATAAATGGCCGACGAATATTTCTGACACTTTGCAAACTTAGTGCAACACTAGCAAGCAATCAAGCCTGTTTTTGGATTCAGAGTTCTGTTCCAGTCAGTAATCAATCTTTCCATGATTGCATTAATATTTATAAACATTCCATATTAATGGCAGCGGGTGTCATGTATCAGCTTTGGCCTGGAGCCTCCAAGCTCTGCATTTCAAATAAATACACTGTAGTCAATCACAGACTTAAAACAATAGCAGAATTAATGGGCTGATTGTTTGAATGCATGCCGGAGATCAGCAATGAAGATAATACGGTGCTGGGTGATTGTGAAAGCCCGTACTTGTGATTTGAAATCATTTGATGTATTTGTTTTGATGAGCGTAATGACAATTTACAGAAAGAGCTTCCATTCTTTTGCAATGATGGCTATTTGTCTATGATATTGATTACAGTTAGTATGCACGCCGTACTTACCCCTTGGCCAAGTGCAACTCTTTCCAGTGCCTGTTTGAGACAAATGGGAAAGTGTTAAGACAAAGACTTTCCTGGAAAAAAGTGAGCTGTAGGAGCAAAGAAAAAAAAAACATTTCTGATGCTCTGCTTATACTAATGAGCCAAAACATTATGATCACCCTTGTCTAATATAGTCTTGGTCCTTTGTGTGCTGCCAGAACAGCAGATGGACTCTACAAGACTTCTGAGCCTATTGTCTAGTCCAGGGGTGGGGAACTCCAGGCTTCAAGGGCCGGTGTCCTGCAGGTTTTATATGTCACCCTGGGTCAACACACCTGAATCAAATGATTAGTTCATTACCAGGCCTCTGGAGAACTTCGAGACATGTTGAGAAGGTCATTTAGCCATATAAATCAGCTCTCTTGGATCAAGGACACCTCTAAAACCTACAGGACACCGGCCCTTTAGGCCTGGAGTTCCCCCACCCCTGGTCTAGTATATTAGGTACATAAGTATTTGAACAGTGGTACATTTTTGCTTCTGTAAAACGCCACATATTGAAGTTGAATTTGGTAGCTGCTCATGGGAACTCTCAATATTACAGACATGGAAAGATGTGTCAGCGCACATGAAGAATGCCATCGCTAGGGTGAAAAACAAAAGAGATCTATTGGAAAGATAGTGGAAACTCTTGGGTTGCCAGTTCAATTTTGCAGGTTTTTGGAAAGAAGGGATGCACCGGAAAGTTCAGCAACGTGGATAACACAGACATTTACCCAAGGAAGGCAAGAAATTTCTTGATGATCGAAGAATTCTTGGTATTTCCTTGGTGAAGAAAAAAACTTTTACCTTGGGCCAGAATGAAAGGGCTGATGGTCCAAAGTATTAGTTTTCAAACTCTTTGCGAGCAAGGCACAACTACGGAGTATCTATGCAAAACAATCTTTGTCACCCAAAGAGTTCTCCCTTTTTGCTTTTCAGAATAACACTCTTTGACAGCCCGTGCCATTTGTAATCTATTGCAGAGTTGTCACCACTCAACAATACTTTGCCTCTGTTAACTTGTCAGCCTTTGGTATGAATCCAGTGCTCTTTTAAGGTAGGCCAAGTTTCTTTCAGAAGAGTTGTTTGGCTTCTGATTCTGAAACGGACCCTTGCAGTGCACATAGAACAGTTATATGTTTGCAATAACAATTCAATGGTTGGACAAAAATACCAAAGCACACCTGGATCAGGGCACACCCAGACTTGCCTCAATGTGTACACTATTGGGAAACCACATACATAAAAAATACCAAAGTGTCTGTCAAAACCGCAGTGATGCGTTGGTGGATGTAGGATCTGGGCAACTGGTGCAAACTGATGATGTTTTTTCTACGAACACATATCTGGACTGGTCACAGAGGAGAGAGACATGACCTTGATACGAGAAGATTTCTGGCTTCCAACTATAATCCTTGGGGAGTCTGTCTTTAAGCAACTGTGTGACGATTAATAAGTGGCTAATCAATGGACTCCCGGCCAAGGTGCTCAGATCTGCAGCATAGAAATAGGGCCACGATGGATGATGCTGTGCAAGCAGCCCCAGAGATTTGTAAGGCGAACAAATGTAATGTTCCTAAATATCCAATTCAGACAAGTGACCTCAATGCATCCGAGCATGCTTTTCAAGTGAATGTGTGTGTGTATGTGTATGTGGTGTGTGGTGGTGGGGGCACAGTTTCTTCTGAGCCTGTGAAAATGGAAAGGCTTTATAACAAATGGGTGTAATTTGCCATGCAACGTTTTTTAAACCGCTTGTAATAAAGCTGCAGGTCTTGCCTTCAATCACAGCTTCACTACTTCATTTCAAATCCACTGTGGTTGGTTACAGAAGCAAAATTATATACACTGGAAGCAACAGTATAAATACAGTTGACTGTATCCATCAGACCTCGGTATGCACCAAGGGTTATGAGAACATGAACAGTATGTGATTCATCCACTGACGGTCAGACTCTTGAGTTCATCAGTGTAAAGTTTTACTGTCAGCTAATAGCAGCCATGAGAAGAAAAAAAAAAAACACATGAGAAACTTACCAAACATGCTGACATCCTGGCATTTCTGCCACAAAAGCAGGATTGGTCACGGAGGTACTGACTCAGAGGGAAACCACACACACTCTGTAAACACTCTGTGAGAGGACACACAGGAATATGAGTCAACTGATTAATCAGTTTAGTTGACCAGTGGGATTTTTCATGCTGTTTTCATCTATTTCAAATATTTGCAAGAGAAACATCAAGATAACAAAAGTACCGAACTTTTTTTGTTGTTTTTTGCAGTGATTGCCTTAGAACATCCCAGGGGAGTGGATTCAAATGACCTATTAGTTAGTGTTAAATTAAATCCGAAGACAAAGCCAGCAGGAATTTAGCTTAGCTTAGCACAAAAGATAAACCTTGGGGAAAGCAAGCCTAGCCTAGCCTAAAAATAACATTGATTCAATCCTGAGGTTTTGTACAGTTTAGCAAATTTCACCTAGCGTAATTATTTTGCTTTATAGATGCTGATAGATGTGTTTCGTTACCTTTGAGGAGCTAAGACCATCAGCCTCCTAATTTTTAATCATTTTGTGCTAAGCTAAGCTAACTCTCAGCAGAAAATCACCCAAAAGAACTTCAAACTTCTCTTTTAATGCAAGCAAATTCATATGTTACCCCCTAAATAGTCAGTACGGCTAACCTCTAATTATTGTGTGGAAAAATAGCAATTTGAGCCCCATTTTTCTAACCGCAGGAGTTCTTAGTACTCAAAAACCCTGATTCCCAGTGGGAGGGTGGCGAGTGTTGACAGCATGCCATCCTTTTCATGTCCCTTTAAAAAGGTTGGAAGACTGAGGCCAAGGCACAGCGAATCCAGTGGGAGTACAGTCAAAGGAAGCACTAATAACATGTGCAGCTGTGGATGGTCAGGCTCTCACAAACTGCTCTGGACACGGGGGCATATTAGCAGTCAGGTTAGCTTCACGTCTGCCTGGCACATGGCTGCCAACACAGGCCCTTAGAAGCAACTGAAGTGGACGAGGCTTTGTGACATCTGAAGGGTGGATTTCAGTACATTATGTGCACAGAGCTGTTTATAGTAGCTTTGCTTGTGTTGGTCACAGAGCTCGTTCTGAAGTGGCCAGATAAATATTTCTGATATTCTAGTGCGTGACCGGACATGTACACTCAAAAGCTGTACTCGTCTTGGAGTCGTTTTTGCTGTTGTGAGTATATAGAAAGTTTACAGTACTAGATGTGGATGCTGCACTTCAGGAAATCCTTGAATTCTAAATGAGCCGATCACATAAATGTATAACGTCCTTCTCCAACGAAGCTTTCAGGCCTTTGGATCCTTTTTTGGGCTGAAGCAGGCCACCACAGGAGCTGGCCTGCAGCCCAGACTGCACTGTAAGGCCAACAGGGGAGTGAAACTGTGCGTGTGTGAGCGAACGCCTTTGTTCCTTTCCTTAAATGATCGAGAAACAAGTGTGGAAAAGAGTGTTTTCAATCAGCTGTCATGATAGCATTTTCCACTCTCAAGTGTCGAGGGTCGCACTGTTAACAAGAGATGACGTGGTGCTGTATCGACAGCAGCGAGGCCTCTTTTCCTGCAGACGTGCAGAGGCTACAGACAAAGCACGAGGACACATGTAGACAATTTCATACCTCATAAACTCTGGAGTGGAGGAATATATGAGACAGGGATGATATCAGCCTGCATTCTGGCACCTGCGTTGCCGTCAAGCTAGGGCAGCAGCAGACAATGATAAACAGCCTCTACCGTGTGAAACTCGGGGCTAACTACGACACCGTAAACACAGAATACTTCACGCTGGCTGCAGAATCAATTCCTTCTAATAGATTCTGTTTTTAAATACAAGGGTCAAATATTCTCATTTTCAGCAGCCTTCAACAGCCATTTTAAATCCGTAAATCCAGTCTAATGACTGTAACAGTAGGCGTCAGAGCTTAACTCAATCTCCAGAAGGGTAACTAGGCCGAGTCTCAGAATTCTCAGTGGAATATTGGACTTGTTTACTAAAAAGTAGGAATATGCACTAATCAGCCACAACATTGCAGTGTGGCTGGGCATGTCCCAGCTATGGAAAATTTAATAAATAGTTAGCTCAGACATGACACGGAGGACTCTTGGATCCAATCTGCAAATGTCATATAAAGCACACCATTCAACCTGACTGAGTCTACCTACAGTTGCTGCAAAGGTGCAAGCTGTCGTGCAACTCTCCTCCACCCCAGCGCCCTCTCTCTAGCCTACGTCAGGTTTAATCAGTGTCATATCTGTTATCACTGATGCCTGCGCTATTCTCTACAGGTGGCTTTGCTGCTGCCCTTCCCACCATGTGAGTATGTTTTGGATCACCGGGAAATATTTTTCTGCCCTTCTATTGTCTAATTTCCGTAAAACCGTATGAACTGTAGCCTCAGTTTCCTGTTCTTAGCTGACAAGATTGCCACCTGATGTGGTCTTCTGCTGCTGTAGCCCATATGCCTCAAGGTTTGACTTGTTGTATTTTTAGAGATGCTCTTCTGCATACTTTGGTTTTTACGAGTGGCTATTTTAGTTAATTTTCTATCAGCTCAAAACAGCCTGGCCATTCTCCCCTGACAAATCATTTTCGCCCAGCCAGCTGCTGCTCATTGGATATCTTCTACTGCTCTGACCATTCTCTGTAAACCCTACAGATCTCTACATGGGAAAAATACAGAGGATAATCCTTCTCTGACTATAGTGGTTCACACTGAACCTTACAGGACTGAATCCAGCACCACTGCACTGACTGGGACTTGGAAGATTCAAGGCTTGATCTAAGCAGTCTCCACCCCACAGCCCACAGGACCCAGAGACTCAGCTGCCAAAGCCCTGGTGACAGACACCGCAGAACATCACAGATCTGTGTCCACGGGTCAGTGCTCACAAGCGGGACCAACACAATATCTGGCAGGTGGTTTTAATGTTGTGGTGGCTCGGTTTAAGTGTTTATGTGACTCTTTGTGGGAATATAAGATTTCTGATAAGAGCAGATTGATGAAGTGCAGGTGTCTGAGATTGGACTATGGGAGAAGTGTCAGTGAAAATAAGGAGGGAGAGAAATAGACATAAACAGAACATGAGAAACCACAGGCTGTGTGTGTGTGTACAGTTACAGTTTTTCAACTCAAACAGAGACAGATAGAAACACACCTCCTGACTCCTGGAAGCGATTTACACCTCTAATTGTGTGTGTGTGTGTGTTTGTTTACTCTGTCCGGCATGGTCAAACTCCTCAGACAGCAGGTGATAGCAGCAGCCCACACTGCAGACTGCGGCTAGCTCCGGTTTAGCCACAAACATCCTCAGCGTGCTGGGAGCCAAGTTGCCACAAGTGTGCAGGCCAACCATGACTGCATCCTGGGTTTTGGACAAATCACACAGAGATGGGAGAGAACAGAAAAGGAGGTGGAAGCAAGTAGGGGGAGTAGTAGAGATCGATGGTAAAATTTATTGATGATGACGCGCTGCAGATTTGGCACCGCAGTCACACCCCAGACTCACTCCAGTAATGCAAACTCCAGCTGCTGTGACACACTTGTAATTCTAGGAGTTGCTATGGGAATCAAGCTATGCTACTATGCTCTACAGCTGGCTGAATATAGATGAAGCTTTTCTTTTTTTACATATATTATTAAACATTTACTTTTGGCTTTGGGTTTGCTCACCTCCAGCTCATTGATGAGGTCTCGGAGCTCTGTTTCTGCAGTAACGTAAGATGTGAGAGGTGAAAACACGGCTCCAGCGCTGTCTGCCCTGCTCTGAGCTTTCCTCTCCAGGTTCTCTCTCTTCCTCCTCTCTCTCTCCTCAGCACTGAGTTGACTTGGGGGAACTCTGGGGGAAGCAGGCTGTATTACATCCACGGATAAAGCACTCAGGAAGAGCTCGTCTGTTTCTAGGTTTTGCTCTGAACGTCCTTCCACTGTGGGGTTGATGTCTGATGAGCTTGTTAACACCCTCTCCTCCTCTTGTGACCGAATTCTTGGCCCATTACCAGAGAAAACATCTTCGTCTCCATTCAGCCCAGTTTTTCTTTCTATTAACTCCTCCTGAGGCGAATGTGTGGCCTCTGCTTGCGTCCTTGCTGCTTTGGTGTGTTTCTGGTATGCTTTCGAGAACTTCTTTAGCTTCCTGTTCCTCTCCTGAGCACCGTGGGTGTTGGTGCTAGAGGAGTCAATGCCATACACCCGAAGGGCATACTGAAGAGAGAGGAAGGAGCTCAAGTAGCCCTTCCCTGAGCCTACATCTATCACCTGCATGTCAAGTTAAAAAACAAAAACAGTACATGTTAAGAGCTGTTCAGTGGTTTTTACAGATTTCTTTTTTACAGTATATACCTTTAGGATATTGCCTGTACCTATAAAAATGTTGCCCTACCTGATTAACCCCACAGTGCTGAGCCAGGCAGGCCACCACCTCAGACATGGACTGGACTTCATGAGATTTCTTAGAAGTCATAAACTCATCTGACTCAAAAGCAGCCACTATATTAAAAAAAAAGTCAGTGGAAAGAAATGTCACAGTTTCCCCAAAATTGACACCACATAGGTTCAAAAATTATGGTTGTGATTTGAACAGGACAATCCTGGATTGCTTCCTGTTCTCAGTGGGAAACAATCCTTCCCTACCTGTCTCCTCTGGAGTACCAGACTCAGACTTCATGTCCCTGAGGTCCTGCAGTAGATTCTCCCGGCTCATGCAGAGTCCAAGGCTGGGAAGAGAGTGCTCTTTAGCTGCCTGCACAAGTTCCTGGGTGTCAACCAGTCGCTTTGTATCATTGCAAAACCCAAATGTGGTGCTGGGCTGCTCTGTTTAGGGAGATAGATATGGGATATCTGTAACATAAAGTCCGCATAGAATATACTTTAAAATTCACAGTTTCGGTCCATGTATAAATAGTTTTGCTTTTATGCCTTGATAATTTATATTAATTTATAAATACTGGGGATCAAATCTTTAATAACCTGATACTAACATAGATTTTGGTCCAGAACATCTGCAGTCCCTTTCCAGATGCGATATGATCCGCACACATTTGGGCTGATAATTACCTTGTTTCAAAAGTAACTAACAACTTCAAGTCTAAGTAAAATCAACACTTTAAATATATATATCATTAGTATTAGGTTACTCCTTGTTCCTAAACATGGAAGAATGTTTCCAAAAGTTTATTTATTTATTTTATTTTTTGCCATCCATAAGTCAATGTTTGGGGTTGTTATCTCAAATTTTTTTAAGAAATTAGGTCTCTCTGACATTTTTCCAGGAAACAAGCTTCCATATTATACAATAAAAGAAAAGAACAGAAAAGAAAAGTCCTTCGTTCTCTTGTTTGGTCGGAACTAGCTTACCACTTTGCCTGTGCTGTGGCTCCCTCTGCTGGTGATTACCGGAACCTACAGCTGACAGGACGTCCTCCGGTGATACGGCCATGAACCGTTTCCACACGTCGTGAGTGTAAAACTCCACTGTGTGGGCATTAGCAATATTAAGAGTTATAGATAGAAACCGAGTGACTTCGTCTATCCGTTGCTGAATTTCTGTGAGGCTGCATGAGGAGGATTTCATGTTAATTAATAAAACGAAGAGGAGCTGGGCAAGCACGCAAACGTCCCACTTCTGGTGTACGCCTAGACATTGGCAGTAGAAAAAACGGTTCGATGAATTTACTGATCTGTTTTTTATTTTTCAATAATATAAGCTTTACATACATACAAGGCGAGTTTACACAGTGTAACAGGGCGTTTACACTTCATCAAAAACCAACATACTTGGAAGTCCGACAAGAAAAAAATAATAAAACTCACGTTGTTATTATCACGTTGTTCAAAAACTATTAAATTTTTTTTTAACTGAAGCCTCCTTTTATACCTGTTCACTACAGCATGAATTTATAACAAGGAATTTCAACAAGGAACATTTTGAAATAGGGCCTTCCGCAATCGATTTATCAAGTCTTGTCTTGTTGACGTCATCACACAGCGTCTGTAACGAAACGGCATGCTAGCTCAAGTCGACGAGGAGGTTGTAAACATTTGAGTTTTCCCGAAGAGACTGAACACACATGGCACCAACAGATCAAAAAACGAAGAATGAGAAGTTTGCAGGGAAAGAGGGCGACTTGGCGAAAACAAAAAGTGGCGCGAAGGGTGTCAAAAAGAAAAGAAAATGGATCTCCGATCAGAAATTGTTCAAAGGCAGCGTAAAAGAAGGTACAATAAGGCTGAACGTACACGTAAAAACTACACAGTCTCTATCTTTAAATAACATAGGAACCGTGAGAAATCAATTCATATTAAGATCAGAACTTAATCCGTGTTGGGTTAATTCAAACGACTGTCAACACAAGAGCATGAGCATAGTCTAGATAAGTAATGACACTGAATTTGATTTTTTTTAAATGGTTTGATTTGCCTGTATTTAAAATCTCTGACTTAACTCTTCAGGTCAAGGATTTGCTTTCAACAGGAAGCAGAAAGTCAAACATGAATACAACAAACTGCTGCGAAAGGAGAAGAAGAAGAACCCAGGGTCCAAAAACCTGTACAAAGAAGAGTATCCAGAACACCTCAGGCATCTGTACGAGGCTGAGGCAGAGAAACTGAAGAAAGAAGCCTGGACAAACAGAGTGAACAGGAGTAAGCTGAGGATGAAAGGGCAGGCGAAAGAGATGGGGGAAGGTGATGGAGAGGAAGAGGATGATGATGAGGCACAGCAGACCGAGGCAGCTGGTGAAGAAGTTGTTAGTGGGGGATCTGAGCTGAAGGAGTCAGTGTCCGGGAACCAAGCTGAGCCAACATCAGCTTCACAGAGCGAAAGGTGAGCAAGTCTGTGCAGACATACAGCACTGTGCCAAAATCATGAAGCAATCCTCATTACTTTATATTTAGCTTTCAAGGAGCATTGACTGCTTTTTTGGTCACTTCCTTGCTTGTTCAGCCACTCAGCAATGACGTATGAATCACTGAAGCATAGAAAACACACCTTGTACAAAGGATGGAACAGTGTTGTGGCTACACTGAATCATTTTGTTGCTAGCAGTTTGTTGCAAAAACTAATTTGTTCTTTAGTTGAACCTAAAAAAAAATGCCAAAGATAAAACAGTTTGATTCCCAAAGAGCTACTAACTGAAAACCTGGCATATCTCAGCATGGTATGCATTGTGTCCTATAAGGAAATGAGGGGTGGCTCACAACTTTTACACAACACTTAAAACAAGAGAGGGTGGAGTGGTGGAGAATGCATAGACAAAGTCAGCTTTTATAATGTTGGGTTTAAAAAAAAAAGTTTGCTTGTTTCCACCAGTCTTCCAATGAGCAATCGCATGAGGAAAAAAATGGAGAGGAAAAACTCTTACCAGAAGACAAAAGAAGAATTTGAGAGGATCCAAGAGAAGCGGAGAAAGAAGAAAGAGGTAATGTGTTTGACTAAGTAAAAGAAAAATAAGATCACTGTCTTTCATTTTTTTTTAATGAAAAAAGTTTTTAAACAACAGCCTGTGTGTTTGCTGTTTTTAGGAGTACTTGAAGAACAAGCAACAGAAAGAAGAGGCCATCCAGAAGTACAAACAGAAAAAGATGGAGACATTCCAGATCCTAAACAAGAAGACCAAGAAAGGACAGCCAAATCTAAACCTCCAAATGGAATATTTACTTCAGAAGATACAAGGAAGTGGGAAATGACTCCTCCTCAGAACTGAATGCCAGTAGAGGACTTTACTTAAAACCTCATAGGCTGAATCAAGGCTGCGATTTTCTGTGCAAAATCAAAGTGGAAACTTGTGGTTGTTTTGACCATAAATTACTTTGAGATATATATTGTGATTTCACAGTATTTTTTGCTCTGACCACTGAAAGTCATTGTACTGTCCAACCACAAGATGGCATCATAAGAAATGAAGTGAGGACAGAGCATGCTTTTATTTTTAAAAATAAATAAATATATAATTTCCAATAATGTGCTTTTATTTTGAAATAAACCATAAATACAACTTTCTTTTGGCCAATTTTCTGGTAGTCAACAAGTTTAGCTTTTATTTCCAAGTAAACCTCCAAAAACACAATAACACTCATCCCGCTGACAGCCTTCATTATGCTGCTGTCTTAATTACACACTACATAAACATGTTGCACACATGTAGCCTGCATAGAGTAAGCTCACTCTGCGGCCCCATCTCCGTGTGAGAGCAGCGGGTGGACCCAGGCTGAAAAGCCTCAGGCTGCCTCCTCATGACATCACATGGTTGCAGAATGACTTGCCTAACACTCGTCTGTGAGGCAAGACTTCCTAAACACAGTGCGGTCACAGCTCTGTTAATACTGAGAGCGGATACAAAAGGTTTCAGTTTGTTGTGCTCGTCATTTGTAGAAGGTAAGAGCTTTCCTTCCGTTTCTGACTTATTTAAAGAAAAAAGGGACAAATGCAAACCTGTGCAACTTGTAGATACAAGAGCTGAGGAAAGAAAGAATTCGCCAAGAGTTTTGTATATGCTGCAGAGGAAGGCCCAGAAATTTACTTACATTGTTTAAGTGTCTTTGTCTTTACAAAGTAGGTGGCAGTGCTGCTTAGTAGTATGCACTCACTTAGTTTGTAGCCAAGTTAAAATTTGCACTAATTAAACAGCCTTCAGGAAAAATCCAAATTCAAGACTTGACAATACAACACCTGCCTCTGATATTTCACTTTCAGCAGTGTTTGCTGCAGATTTAGAATTCCTGACAGCATAAACTGCGCTCCAGCTCGGAGCAGTGCAAACAAGACAGCACCTCAAAACAAAGGCGCGAGGAAAACACATAGGGGGACACATTAATTCATCTGCTGCTTGAAGCAGTCTTGCAGGCATTATGCTGTCATGTGTTCTGTATGGTGGAGTATTAAGATAATCCTTTACTGTGTATATACATACCTTTGTCAGTGGCTTACTAGAAAAGGGAAGTGCAGTTTAGCTGTAGTGCTCTGCTACTTGTGTAACCACCTTAGTTTTCTTAAACTTGCCTTCACGTAATTTTTTAATTGAGTACAGTTCTTTGTCTGTCTTACAGGAACCTGCAACCAGGTTTAAGTCTGTCTGTAAGCCACCAAGTTATCAGTGATCTCATCATCTGGTGCTACTTCCTGCCTCTGTTGTCATGGTGACTCTAGGAGGCCCAGAGGACTGAATATAGGGCTAATGAAGAAAACTTCAAAGTACATGCAACCTACCACCCAACAGTGTCCATAAAAAAATAAATATATAACGATAAAAGAGACACAGCCAAGCATGGAGGAGGAGGAGGACGGGGTGAATGGCTTTGGACGGAGCCCAGAGAGGAGGGGCTCTGACTGGGGTCGCATTGCCCTGCTGGACAAGACCAAGGAGTTCTTCCAGACGTGTGATGTGGAGGGAAAAGGCTTCATCACTCGCACTGATATGAGGGTTAGAGATGGAGGCTGTGTGTGTTTCTGTGGACTTTACACACGTCTGTAAAGTCTGCAGGCATTTGACAATTTCACATTATTAAGGCAGATATATATAAGACATTTTAAATGGTAGTTAATGAATCAAGGATTAATCATTCAGTGTATATACTGTCAGAAAGTAAGCCTTAACAAATCCATCTATTAATATCATTACTGTAAACATTTTCCACCAGTTAGGTTAATAATTGTGCCAGCCCAATATGAATATTTATTTCCTTTGAAAAACGGGGAGGGGTCAGTTTTTCCTCGACACTCTTACTCTTTCAGCGGTTTTTAAAAATCCGTGGAGGACCTGTGAGTGCATTAAGCCGCTGCTAAGAAGAACAACAGTTCAAAAGGACACACTTTTACCTGTGGAACAATTTAGTGTCCTGCGGGGCTTTAATAACAGTGAGCACAGAGCAGGGAACACTCAGTGTCACTTTTTCAGTTCATATTACCGTTGCTAAAGAACTCGGAGCACTCAAACAGCCTGAGAAGTGTCGGAGCAGCACGGCTGATGGAAATGTTTATGAATATAATGCCACTCTTTCAGCGCACAGGCTGCAGTGAAGAGCACAGGCAGGAACAATGCATGCAAGCCTCTTTTTAAAGGTCTGACCATTAGTGAGCTGTGCTCCCAGCTAATTAGGGCAGCTCTTGTGGGTTTGTGTTGAGGGTTTTTTTTAATAAAACACCCTTACATTTAAAAAAAAAAACCTCAGTGCAACTGTTAGGTCAGTGTAAGCTTCGTCTGAGCTGTGTCACTACAGAGGAAAATGTACTGTAGCAGATTCAAGGTGCGAACTTATCATGAGACATTTATTTATTGTGTCTTAAAAGTAACTTGCAGTGGTTTTACAGTGAGTGTGTTTCATTTTGAAGTGGAGTTCAGCTCACCACAGTGGTATTTTAAAGTCCTTTTTGTTTATGTGTTTCTCCTGGCAGAGGCTCCACAGAGAGCTGCCTCTGTCCGCAGAGGAGCTGGAAGACGTGTTTGACTCTCTGGATACAGACCACACGGGTTACCTCACACTGGAGGCATTCACCTCTGGATTCAGTAGGTTTTCTGCCATCAGAGGCTCTTTGCTTGGATCACACATATCACACTTGTTACTCCAAATAGATTTCTCTATGTCGAACCTGAAATAGAAGACATTACTATAGCATCAAGTTGAGTTCAAGTTGATTTTGAATACTTAAAGGTATCTTGTAGTTCTGCAAACACAAAAAAACAGAGCGGCTTTAAGTGCAAAATAGAATAATAAGGAATAGTTTGTAAAAATGCAGGCAGGGCTGATTTGTGACGAAAGTAAAAGGGGAAGTTTACTAAAGCAAAGACAGGAAGTAGAGCTGGAGTGTTAAGGTGTTCATCAGGAGTGACCAGATGTAGGCAGGATTAGAAACGACTACATCAGAGGGACAGCTCAGGTAGAGCTGTTTGGAGAGGCAAGGATAGGGTGGTAGGAGACTAGAGAAAGGATGAGAAGATAGAGCTGCCAGACAATAATGAAAAGTAGAAGACCACAGAGAAGATTTGTGGATTTAGTGATGTAGCGATCATTTGCCTAATGGGAGGCAGATAATGGGAGCAGCTAAGAGAAAAAGATGTGGGAAGTCATGAAAAGCTTTTGAATTTATCTTTCAAGCTTAAAAGCTGTGGGTGTGTTTCAGGTCAGTTCTTGCATGGTCGAAGGATCTCTGTGACTGATGACCAAAATCAGGCCCTTGGCCCAGTCTTCAGGGCTAAGGAAGCCCTTTATCAGAGCCAATGGGAAGCCAAGCTGTCAGGAGTTGAGGATGAGGAGGAGAGGCACTTCTGCATGCTGCTGGAAAGCCTGGGAGCCAGTAATGTATTTGAAGAGTGAGTTTAATCACAACAAAACCTTATGTGCATTATTGTTTTTTGTCATGATCCATTCTTGACAAACCTGTGAGCTAAGTTGAGTTTTGTCTCTCCCTCTTTATCTCCTTCTCCTCTCTTTCTCCAGTCCAGACGAGGTGCGCAGCCTTTGGATCCAGCTCAGACGTGATGAGCCTCACCTCTTGTCCAATTTTGAGGAATTTCTGGCCAGGGTCACCCACCAAATCAAGGAAGCTCATCAGGAAAAGAAGGAGATGGAGAGCGCCCTCCAGAGGTAGTTAGGCAGAAAACACATACACAAGGGGCAAGGGAAAAGGGGCTTTTCATGGTGTTCTACCCATTCACAAGGTTTTTAGTGACTATGAGTGTGGACGAAATATTGGACATGAGGCTCAATATAGGGAAGGAATGAGAAAGAAATACAGCATTGTGCAACAGTCTCGAGCCACCCCTAATTTCTTTATATAAAAACAGGTTGCCTGTTTTCTGTTTGGATTGCTCATATGAATGTGTGTGTGTGTTTACAGTGTGCTTGGGATCACTGTCATATTGAGAAATTTAGCTCTTGCCAACCAGATACTATCCATATGATGTTGATGGTGGATCAAATTCTGTACTTTTCTGAGTCCATAATTCAGTCAGACTCTCACTTCTCTTTGTACCTCTATCTGACCTCCTCAGAAGAGGATTTGAACCAGAAATTTCAAATCTGGATTCATCACTTCATAAGACATACATCAGCCTTTCCTCCCTGTTTCCTTTCCTTAAGAATGTCTTCTTGACAGCCACTCTTCCACTGCGATCATTTCTGACAAGGCTTCTGTGAAGAGTACATGGATCAAACGAAGGGCCAGATGCATCTTTCAGACGTTGTGCGATGTCTTTATTGAATTTTTTCCCCTGTGTCTTAAGGACATGACTTTAAGATACTATTCATCTTCTTTTGTCCTCCACTTGTCCTCATATTTTAACGACACTGCATACCATCTCAAGAGGTGCCAGGTTTTTGGCAAGACTATAAGTAAGGAAATGCATATGCTATATATATATGTGTTTTATTTATTTACTTTGTTTTAACCAACACTTTACGGACCAAAAACCACAGTAAAGCCAATATGCTTCTTATGCATTAGCCCCTAAATAATCAGTGGCATAAGGGTGGGATTGTGTTTACATTGTGGACGCCAGCCAGAGCCTGCTGCATGGGATTTACCTGTAATTCTCTATAGAACAACGTCTTTATCCATGTCAAATGACCACTAATCTAGATCCACACTCTGACTGCCTTCTGGTGGTGTGCAAACACATTAATGATATGATTGAGTGAACACAGAGCAAAGGGGTTGTTTTTTTTTGTACTGTATATTAATGTATTTACTCCCCTGATATTCAGAATGACATACTTGATGATTATAGTCTTTTGTCTTTGTAAATGCAACATGAGCATCAGTGGGATGTAGGCTTACTCATGGTACTGCGTGGCACCATGTTACAGCTTGTTATTCTTCTAAACTTAACTAATTGGCTGCTGTGGTCTTAACGATCATCACAGGGATTGTACTTACCAGTAGTCTGAAAATGTGTTTGCATGTCAAGTGCTCACAGTGTAGACAGCAATGTTGTTCTGTTTTTAGATATTACATGTACCACCTTGTGTCTTTCATCGATAAATCGTTTACCTTAACGTGTCATTTCAGGAAGGCAGCAACACATGACAGTGAGATCCGGTATTTATATGAAGAGATGGAGGCACAGATCAAAAATGAGAAAGAACGGCTGCTGCTAAAGGTAAAAGAGCTCAGACATGAAGAAAATCTGACAATGAAGCATCTCCTTGGCAACCGAAGAAGTAAAAAAGATTCAGAAATACAAAGCAAGATGTTTAAAGACATGTATGCTGGACTGCACTGTACAGAAGTGCACTCTATGACACAAGATGACCAACTTCAAATTTAAATAACTTTCTGTGTGCTCATTTTAATTCTGAATTCAACACAGCTGGGATAGGCTCCAGCACCTCCGCGACCCTGAAAAGGATAAGCGGAAGCGAATGGATGGAACACAAGGAAAAAGGAAAAAAAAGCAGTTCCTTATGGAAGCTGATAGTCTTCCACACTCAACCACTAGACAGTTATTTCAGTAAAGTGGAAGACCACTTTCTGCATTATCATAAATGCTGGGTCTTTCAAAGAGAGAGAAGAAGCAGTAGTAATGATGTAAGCGTAGTTTTGCTTAAGGATTATATCGTATTGACAGCAGTGTTTTTACCTTTCGAGCTAATTTTGTGCACTTTCTTTTAACCGCAAGTTGAACCTTTTCTTCTTCTGGTCCTGCAGGACTCTGAGCGGCTTCAGTTGCGCAGCCAGGACCTGGAGCACCAGCTTCTTACGAAGGAGAGAGATTTGGAGCAGCTTTTCCAGAAGCAGAAACGGGTAAGTTAATATGGACGACGCATCCCAAAGAAATTCTGCGGTCATGTTTAATAAGAAACATCCACCATTGTAACAGCATGACAAAATAAAATTTAAGCTCTCTGTAAAAACATTTGTTATGTGTAACTATTGAATAGTGGGCATGTGGCATTACATCTGTCGTGTAGAGAGGATTTACACCAAACCTCACTGTTTTGTTACCTGTGCAGATATCCCTTAAGTACACTTACTCAGCATTAGTGTATTATAACTCCTGTGAATATCTCCCTGTTTAGTTAGAGCACCAGTGCTCTGAGCTGAGCAGTGAGAAGCAGGAGAGCCACGTAGAGAACGTCAAACTGAAAATGACCAACAATGAGTTGTCCAGAGCGCTGGAGAGCACCAGCCAGGAGCTGGTGCTGGCCCAGGAACAGCTGGCTATGCTGCAGGAACAGGCCTCCCGGCTACAACGGGAGAAAGAAATGTGCGTATAAGCATTGTTTGTATTAACTGTGTTTCCCTGCAGTGTGCAAACAGATGCCATAGAGTAGCTATTTAAAAGCAAGTTTCTTCTGTCTTGTTTCAGGGAAATGTACCGAGTAACTGAAGGACTGCAGAGGGAAAAGCAAAGTCTAATGAAGCAGCTTGACCTCCTCAGGTATAATGAGAACACCCAGCACTTTTCAAACTTGGATAATCGTCCATGAGTTTTTGATGAGCCTGTATGCACACTTTTGAGCCTGTGTGGACTGGAGACAATCCAAAAGTTGTACAATCATTCATGCCAATGTTGAGTGGATATAAGTTTCTGACCACAACTATTGTTTTACTCATTTTGGCTCCTGGTTTAGTCCTAACTGGCCAAACCCTATGAATCAAACTCCAAGGTTCAAGGATTTGCAAAGCACAAAACACTCTTTAACATCCCTTCTTTAACTTCCCAGAGAGATGAACAAGCATTTAAAGGATGAGCGAGACTTGTGCTGTGGTGTAGTAAGTAAATAGTATTTTATGTAACTGCATTAACTCGATTACAGCACTAGAATAGCTGAGTAATGCACCTTCTTTTTGTAAACAAGCCTCGAACCTCACTCAGAAAGAAGCAGAAGCAGAGAGCGGGCCTCGGCAATATATTTGATGACAGCAGCCAGCCGGCAAAAAGGTGATTCATTCATCATTCAAGTACTCTTTTTAACAGAATTCATCCCTGTCAGATTGCTTCCTATGCAACAAATGACAAATGTGATGTAAAAATCATGCATCAAAGGAGGAAAAACAGAGGATGTCTGATTCCTTATACTCACAAAAAATAGCCAAATTATCAAGTAGAAATATTAGAAAACTCAAGTGAATTGATCCAGTAAATCCTCTGTTTCTCCTCTGTCCCCAAAGAGCCTCACTGTTGGTGGATGGGTCCTACCTATCTCTGGAGGCCTTGCCTATAGAGCACCTTCAAATCGTTTTTGTTGCTTCCTCCTCCTGTAGTGAAGATGACACCACCACTGCCACCCCTGCTCCCTCCACCACAGCTGCTAGCAGCCCTGTGTGCCAACAAAGGCCTTCAGCGAATAGGAACTCTGGCTTAGCCAACGGTCACATCAGCCCCGTTCTGCCTAAAGTGCACGACGTGAAGACAAAGGCCAAAAGGCTGTCCACCAAAATGGCCACCAGCAAGAGGGTGTTAGGGAGAAGCAGAGACAAATCAAAGAAAGTCGAAATTGATAAGAAGGTGGCAGAAGAGGAGGAGGTGTTAGATGCCCCGCTGGACGGGTGGCCCCTCCGCAGAGTCATCTCCATAGAAGAGGACCACCTGCCCCACCTGCTCCAAGGAGGACCTCAGCCCTTACTGCACCAGCTCAGCGAGGAGGAAGACGAGAGGGATGAGGAGGAAGAAGACGACAGAAGGAGCGACCTCAGTGCTTCCCCACGTTACATCTCAGTGTCAAAAGAAACTCCTCCTGCAAGGAAATCCTACTTTACTCAATCGAAGAAGACCCCACCTGTATCTCCAAGAGGACAGCCTGTGGGAAAGGAAACCTCACAGGTGTGTTTACGGCTCCCCACTTTTATATATGCTTTTAGATAAGTTACTGGAGAGGTAATGAAACTGTCTTTCTAATTGCTCGCCTACAGAAGGCGAAAGAACTGTTTGCCCCAGACCGCCTGTTTAAAGTGGTCCTGGTTGGAAATTCCAGCGTTGGGAAAACATCCCTGCTGCGCTCCTTCTGTGAGGGCCGTTTCCACCCTTCCACAACTGCTACTGTGGGTGAGAAGAAAGGCAGTCATATTTTATTGATGTTTCAGGGCCCGTTTTAAACAGATCTGAAGGGCATGTGTGCGAGTGTGGCTGTGGATGCCTTTCCTGAATACTGGGGGGCGATTTAGCATCACATGAAAGGGCTTGTGAAGTCACACTGCCTGTCTAAGAGCCCTGGCACTCATTGTACTACAGATTATGTCACTTTGGATGAATTTTCTTTATCCTCGCTTTCATCTTTTCCAATCCTCCTTTTATGCCTTGTTGTCACCACCTTTCTCACCCCTTTTTCTGCTGGAATGAAGCACAGGCACTTTGATCCCCCTACTGGCCATTTATATCATTGCTCCTCCGTAGTGAAAACGAGAAGTAAAATCAAGCCTAAATTAAATGTGAGAAGTGTGTCCTTATATTATGTTCGATTATGTATTATATGTTATTATATGTTGTTGTTGTTTTTTAAATCAGGTATTGACTACAGTGTGAAGACATTAACATTGGACAATATGCAGGTAGCCATGCAGCTTTGGGACACTGCAGGCCAAGAGAGGTGAGTGACCACTTCCTTCAGCATATTTCAGTTAACTGGTTGGATATAAACCACTAATATCTTGCAACTTTAAGCTTACCAATAAAATGCTAATCAAGAATATCATATCCAAAGTCTGAATATATAGTCAGTTTATTGCAACCTTCCTTCAATCTTAGGTTTAATCTGAGAGAAATTGTGAGCTTTTTTTAAACAAATTATGACTTTACAATCTCAAAACAAAATTTCCACACTTGCAAATTCCCTTTAATTATGCTTTTACCCTGCCACTGTATTACTTTATTTTATGTTTTAATTTTTTTTTATAGAATTGATCTAATATGCCCTCTTAATAAACACAATTCCTCTTGCAATACTTTATTTTACATGAATGGAAGTGTATACAGTATATACAGTTAGGTTAATAAGTTTCTGAAGACTGAAAATTAGAGATACTGTATAAAAATGTTTTTATTTCACTTAATACATTACTTTTGTCAAAACCTTTGAATTAAATCCAATACTATGGACTTCTTGAGTGTTTCAAATCCTCCGTAGAAGTGAACAGAAACAAAATTACAAAAAAAATGTGTTGTATTTCCAACACTTCTTCTTCTTTTCTTGAATAGTCACTATAAAACAATAACCATGTAGTATTATTGTATCAGTATTGAGGTGGATGTACATAATGTATTCTTATACTCACATTTGAAAAATGGGCCACTGTGCTGACATTCAAATCCTGCTACTGACACAGGTACCGCAGCATAACCAAGCAGTTCTTTCGCAAGGCAGATGGTGTGGTGGTGATGTATGATGTTACAGTGGAGGAGAGCTTCAAGGCTGTGTGGCCCTGGCTCACCAATGTTCAGGTTGGACCTTTGACCCATTCAGTCCTGTGCAAGTCTTGTTTTGTTGCATGCATGGTTCAGTTCATCCAATTTTGGAATTCACATTCTTAAAAGCTGGGGTTATTGCTCATAACGTTTATGCAGTTCACATCTTTGGCAAATCCTGAAATGGGAAGCTCTGGAACCCTGTTCTTTATTTTCTTAGGAAGCAGCAGGAGAAGGGATCCCTATTCTCTTGCTAGGTAACAAAATGGACATGGACGAAGACAGGGTGGTGTCATTTAAAGAAGCTGAGCAACTTGCTTATGTAAATCTAATGCATTTTTGTGCAAGTATTGCCTGTTCTAGGACAAGTAGGTCTGAATTTGTGTGCACACCCTTTGCAGGAAAACAAGGTGATGTTCTTTGAGGTCAGTGCCTACACGGGAAAGAATGTGACAGAGTCCCTGACTCACCTGGCCAGGTAAGATCAAAACAATCTGATACACAGTGCACTGGGGCTGCATTATGATTCGCAGCAGATGTCAAGCCTTTTTTCCCCCTCTTTGTTTACTCAGAGTGTTAATGGAGCAGGAGGACAGGGTGAGAGATACAACAGTCATACTCAGCACTCAGCCTGTGAAGAAGAAAGCCTGCTGCAAGTGAAGACTCAAGCTAACACAAAGAAAACCTAAAACCACAGGAAAAAAAAATTTGTACTGCTATACTCAGTTTATTGAGAGGCAGATCTTTTTTTTCTGTGGAGATTAAAATGTTTGAAGACAAAACTGAAAAGAGTAATGGACTTTAAAACCAGGAAGGCAGTAAATGCTTACATCAATATGCGGTAGAAGTCCATATAGTCTGTGTGAACAAACTGCTGTCAAACTTTAATGAAATGAGCTCCTCTACAGTAAAACAAAAAGTTGTGCCATTACCTGTAAATGCCAAATCAAAATGATCTCTTTGTAGTATTTAGAATATTCCTTATTGCAATTAAATAAAATCCTTTTACCTAAGAGGAAAATCAGAAGTATACTGTAGCCTTTTCATAACAGAATCTTTGCTTCAAGTTTGAAATGAAAGCAGGATAAATTATTTGATTCTTTGACATTTTATTCATCACCACATTCTTTTTTTTTTTTTTTCCATATTCTTTGATCATCCGATCTCTAAACAAAGTGGTACATGGCATAATTGCATCATGTTTGTTACTGTTCTGAGGCATTCTTCTCTTTTTTCTGGCACCAAAGTTCTCAGTAATTAAAGAAATAAATTCCATTTCACATCTTTCTGCAATTAAAAAATGAAAAAGGATTCACATGCAGATACTTGCTAAAATAAAGCAATGAATTACTGTACTCTCTATACAATTATACAATATGTAATAAATGTTACTAAAGGTAAAACAGTTAATGACTGTGCTATAATCCTCTTAACATCACACAAGTTAATCGTTTTCCATTCATTGTAATAATAATAATAATAAATAAATAAATGATTTTCATTTCATACATCAATCAAAATAATTCTCAGAAACAGACCAAAAAATCAAGTAGGATGATACATTCAATGAGGTGCCCGAGTCAATCAAGTTGGTACACATGATGGCACTATTGCTGATAGATACGTGCCTATTGTGATGACATCACCTAGATGCTGGCTTGATGGCATCCAATCAGATGCGCCCAGATGCCCTCCCTGGCAAACTGGAATGCTTGTTGGAGAGCCTGTGCCCTCCCCCTCGCTGACCAGAGGGGCTGAGGCTAGGTCTGCGGCACGGCTTGGTCTGTTGTTCTTAACGCATTTTGTAGTCGTGGGAAATGGCGGCCTCGCATAGCTGTCCTTTAAAATCTAGCTCAAGGGTGAACTCCAGGTCACGCTGCAACAAACATTACCAAAAGTGAATTGAAGTAATCAGTTACAAAGAATTACACACAACCAAAAAGGCGAAGGACATGCAGCACTGTAAGAAATATTTCCTTAATTAAAAAGAAAAGAGATTCTCTGTTAATTAACTGCATGCACACAGCAAATAAACAGGACATTTTCTATTATTAACAATAACTACAGGGAACATAGGACACATACCATTATTTGAATATTTTCTGTTATTTAATGGTGTGTGGTCAGGATACAGAAGAAGCAGCTACTTTTCAGCAGCTCCTTTGCCACAAGGGGTCACCGTAGTGGGTAGCTCTTCCTGACGCAGCCCCAAAGGGGATTTTGTGGCTCAGGCTGGAATTAAACCAGCTACTTTTTGCTTGCTAAGCAAATATGCGCTATTAGAGGCAGTCTACAGTAAAACAGGATGTTAAAAATATGGCATTTTTTACTAATTGAAGGTTTATCTATAGTAAAAAGAGGACTTTTTCCACTATTTGTATCCATATCTTTATTATATTTCTAAGTATGTTGCTGCTGTTATAATTTAGGTAAATTCCCTTTTTAAGTCTAGAGAATTGTCTTGAAAATTTTTAGTCTTACCACATTCTTCTCGTTGGGCCTGACAGCAAGACTGCCAAAGATCTCCTCTCCCTTCTTGACAGTTAGGTAGTCCTCTAAATAAAACACAGTCTGTTTCCAGTGTGTGCTTGGGGCATCTGGAGCTAAAGATAGGATGTGATGGAGGGCAAGGGAAAAGGCAGGGAAGTGAAAATGAAAGATGGTGGAGATGATAAAGAGAGAGGAGGAGAGAATTTGAAATTAGGTTAAAGAGGAATGGTGGTGAGGAAAGAGGAAAGAGGAGTAAAGAGGAGTAGGGGAAATAAAAAGATTTACAGAATAGTCTTGACAGGCACTAGACTGCCTTCGGCATGTTAGCATAGAAGAAATATAACAGCAAAGTGCCTGAAATTCTCTCATCCAATGGGAAAAATACAGAGGCAGATAGAAGAGATCTCCTTCGGTGATGCTCAGCCTCAGGGCCAACAGACAGCCAAAAAATAGAACCTCCTCTACGCGATATTATGTAAGCACCGGATGCGTGAATGTATTAACATAAGCTTGCATAACATATTTCACTATAATAGGTGTCCTCAACAGCATGATGACGCGCGCGGTGATTCTGCTGGTTCAAACACTGGTCACGTAACACCAGCAGAGTGTAGCCAAGAGCTAAGGTGCAGAAATGGAGCGCCATCCATTTAATATCCACTGATTCACTGCTCAAACTACTCAAGTGGCTGCGGGGCGAGCCAGGATGTGAATCTGCTTAACGGTGCAAGCAAATCTTCATGTATCCTTGGCTACATTTTTATACATTTTATAAACTTTTGTGGTGTAAAATAACTGAATAATCTAGGAGAAATAAGATTTATATCAGGTTTTGAAATCTGTGAATCGCTGAACACCTCAGTTCAGTTCTGAAACACACTTGCTGTGACAAATAAAACTGATCACAAGTGAAAAAGAAATGTCACTCATTGGTGTTTCAGTTAAATAACAAGTGGATTTGGAGAATATGTGTTTTAAGGCATAAGTTTCAGAAAAGATTGTGAGTGTAGACATTTAAAGTTCCTTAGAATTGTTTTATCATTGAAAGTGAACTACAGGAGTTGTCCACTCTTTTCATAAACCTTTCTGTTGCATCGCATTGGGTACATTGCAATAGGGTCCTGATAGACAATCCTGGGAAGTAATTGTCCTTGTCTGCTATGCAGCATAACACAACCTCACTATATAAGCACCACATGGAGAAAGTAATATCAAAAATGTATAGTACAGTACTGTGGAAATGGCTTGAATCACCCCTCAATTCTGTATATTTTCCTTCAATGATGGGAAATGGGTGCAGCAGTTTGTTGAAACGAGTTTTATTCAGGAATAGTTCTCCAGGCTTCTTGAAGGACATTCAGAATTCTTCCATGGATGTTGGCTGTCTTTTGATCTTTTCCTTGTTGGGATAAAAAAAACTGAGATTCAGGCTCTGGCCAACCCCTGATTGATAGTTCGATTCATGACTGATAGTTCCATGTGTGTTTTCTGTGTTTGGGATCATTGTCATGCTGATAAATCAAACTGTTACCAATCTCTTTCCACATTATATTGCACGGTGGCACAAACCTAACTGCACTTTTCTGTGTTTGTTATTGAATCGATTTTGACAAGATCCCCAACACACCTCCACAACAAATTCATCTCCAAACCATGAGAGAGCCTCCCCTGTGTTTTACAGATGGCTGTAGTGACTCTTTCCTAAACACCTTGGTTCATATTGATGATTTAAACAAATCCAAAATGTAAGTTTTGGATTGATCACTCCATAACACCTGCTGCCACTTATTTTCTGTTCAGTTCTCGTGTAATTTGGCATGCCTCAGCCTTTCATTCCTGTTTTCCTGCTTTAAAAATGGCTTCTTTACAGGCACCCTTCCTTTCTCATGAGACTTTACTGAGCCGTAGATGGATCAGCCAAAGTGCCAGATGCATCTTTTCTGGAGTTTTTTCTATTTTTTAAAAGACATGCATTTCAGACACTGTTCATCTGCTGTAGATAATTTTGTCATTTCTTTTGTCCTCCACCCATTCAGTGTCCTCAATTTTGTTAATTAGACTACCCAGCATGCTCAGAAATGTCAAGGTTTTTAACAATAGATCTTAGGAATCACCTTGTTGGTCCAGAAATAGCATTTTAGGGCTGTTAAACTGTGGTGTCTTTGGAATTTTTGATAGATTCGGCTAAAGAATTGGAACACATTATGTATTTTTGTAATGAATTGCTAGTCGCAGAGTTCCAAAAGATAAAATTACAATTTGTTTTTTGCTACGTTATCTGTTATGTGTGGAAATAAAACTGATTCATCCCTTGAACTAGGTGCCTTTTTTTTAACGCTTGAATGATTCATAGGTCAGTGTTAAGTGGCTTACCAAATAAGAAATATTCCTCTTCCTTAAAATAAGTGAAAAAGCAGCCAATATCTAATGAAAAACCCTGGAAGATTATCAGAAAGCTGGGAGAACGACCAGTTAAACCAGTTTAACATTTTGAAGTCTGGTTACCAGGGTTGATCAAGACTTTTACACACATTGTACCAAAATATGTGATATAATTTTTTTTTCTATTTGATTGACCCAGAGGTTTAAATCTCAACTCTTTAAAATAAAAAAGGCTCCTGTTTAGCCTCACCAGTGGAGAAACCAGTCTTCTTGTGACATTTGGTGAACTCAATGGTGAAATAGGTGACCAGAGCATGGACGTAATCATTGCGCTGAATCTGCAGACAGAAGGCTGAGGTGAAGGACAGGTCCTCTGGCTTCACAGTGTAGATGTCCACTTCCTGAAAATAAAATTGCCAGTAGCTGATGTTATATATGTCAGGGCAAATGAGCTTGAAATCCATAACCATGCTATTTCAGAATAGAGCCACTGTACAATCACAGGCTTGCAACTTGCCACCACCATTTGCGATCTCTCACATACACATGCGGCACATGTATGTCAATGCTTCTTGATTATTCACCATGATTACTGTGCATGTGCAAGAATATGTGTGTGTGTGAAAGCCCACAGGTTGAATCACGGCTGGCAAATGAAGCCTGCTCGCACTACACATGCTGTGTGGGTGTCCTCCCTCATGTCTACAAGGGAGGGAGGTTTTGTGCGTGTGAGTGTATGTGTGTGTTTTATATCAAACTGCCTTACTGAGGTAGCCACAGATCTAAGTACTTTGTCACCTGCTAGGCATCATACTGGGTTCAAAATAGAGGAGCAGGTGCATCTCTGCTTTGCATGTAGATGATGCTGTATTTAGGAGGATGGAGGGGGATTTTTATTTTAAATTGCAACCTGTTCATCTTGCCCAGCCTATTGGGCTTTGGAGCACTCGGCCATGTGGCGTCACCATGACAGATTGTGATTTAACACCTCTGTCCTTTCCAATGATACCAGGCCAGTATCGTATATAGCAAATTGTAGGAGGAGAGAAAAAAAATCCCCGGGAGCGACTTTGTAATTTTAGCAAGCGAGGAATGACTGGCAGTTTGAATTAAGAAGCGGTGAAGTGGCTGGCAGGGGTGGGTTGGGGTGAAGATGCCCTGAATACATACATGTAAAAAAGATACCTGCAGTGAGAATAAAATTTCAGACAGGCATGTCAGTGGCTAAGCTCCTCCATCCTAACACATGAATCACCTTTTCTTAACACAAAAGCAAGACCATCGCTTATCACACTGATGGAGAGCCCATTTCATTCCCACTGGTGACTCAATGCCTGCTCTTGTGTGACATTTCACCATCGCACAGAGGGAGAGACTGAGTGAGACCTCCCTATTCACTCAGACTACTGAGGCCTGACATTGTTTAAAATCAAAGAATGGGACACAAGATGAAAGGAACGGTGGAGTGATTAGAAAAGTGAAAGTGAGAAACGAGACTATAAAATGATGTGAGAAAGAGATAATGAAAAAAGGGGCAATGAAGACATAAAATGCTCGGAATAGAAAGAAACATGATATATGGAGAGAAAAGGGACAGTGAAATAGAGAAAAGGTAAAGGTAGAGGGGACAAACAAAAAGGCTATCACCTCTGTGAATGCTCTCATCCTCTGTTCATTTGCGAGATGAAAGACAAGCTTCTGTTGTATCTTCAAGCATGAAAACAGAGCTGCAGCCTATTACAGCCAGCCAGAAATCTCTATTATGTACTAGAAAATAGACTCAATAGATGGGGAATGTTCACAGTGACAGAGGATCACAGCTGTCTGACTTTTTCTGGGAATTCATGTACCCAGGAGATAGAGGAAAACAAAAGTGTTTGGATATGTGCCACAAACAGGTATGAAATCATACTGTAGACAAAATGCGTTCACAAACTGGTGCAAATGCAGACTAACCTTCAGAAGGCAGGCGTTCGTCACCACTTGCTTGGGATCTACCACATCTACCAGAGGCTCTTTGATGGCCACATTGCGAATGCAACTCATGTCGAACCCATATACGTTTTCCCACCCTGTACATACAAAAAACAAACCAGATACCCATGTGAATGACCATGCACACAATATGTGTTTTCTGGATTTTTTTTCTCCTTCAGTTTTCAGGCACAAGCAAAGCTCTGTTCTCCCTGTTCCTGCTAAGCTGTCAGCACAAAAAAGGTAGCAGAGAAAATAAAACAGAGCGCTTGACTCTGCCAGGAAGAACAGTCCCGCTGTCTTTCTGTCTATCCAGGCCGTATGTGGAGAAAGACAAGCCGTCCCGAAAATATACTCTGGCCTCCTCCTCTACCTCCTCCAGAATGTCTGGCATCCTTGTTTTATTATAATTTGGGCTGAAAACACACCAAAAAACACATTCACTCCCCCACTCACTCAGTCCCTTCACTCCACCTTGCTTTGTCAGGAGGCCAAACACTAAGTCTGTATCATGAGATGGTGAGTGTGCCACCAACGCAAAAAAAACTAAAAATAAGAGTGTGAGGGTTTGGGGTAAAGTGAGTTCTTTTGGGATTTATGTGAAAGAATGTACCTTTATGTATGTTTAGATGTAATAAAGCACAGGAGGCCACCTGTGCAGTGAAAGGGAACTCGGTAGGCGTTATTGACCCAGATTCAAAGCCGATGTACGTACAGGTTTGAATGGCACCTTTAATACTGGATCACAAGGTTAAGCTCAGCCCTCCAGCTGTGTTAGCTATTTGAACACATGCTGTGAGTTTGGAGCAGAGAAAGCAGTTCAGGATAAAAAGTAACACGCTGGTTTAAATGCTTTTGAACCTCTTGCTGCACAACAGGTTTCAATGCTAGATTAAACTACTTCCACTTAAATTAAAAATTATTTGCATTCACCCAATTTTTAATCTTATGGTCTTTATGGCTATAACCCAATACCTATAACCCTGTACATTTTAGCCACTTTTGCAGAAGGTACTGCTTTTTACTGTGGCATGTTTGGGTTTTTTTTTTCCCCTTGCAGTCACTAATTAGCATTTAAGAACAATCTATGGCTTGTCGCTGTCACATAAAGTACTGTTTGGTTTTATAACCTACAGCTTCACTGTTTTGGTTCAGTCTTAGAAGTAGCTAGCTCTTTTCAGATGTTTTCAGTTTGGGACTGAAAACATCTGAGGCATTTGAGGCAAGCAGGAAAAGCTCAGTAGGTAGAGTGGTGGACCCATGATCGGTAGGTTGGGGGTTCGAATCCACTGAACGACTACCCTGAGGTACCCCTGAGCAAAGTACCGTCCCTACACACTGCTCCCCGGGTGCCCAATGGCTGCCCACTGCTTCACTGAGTGACTGGGATAAATGCAGAGGGAAATTTCCCCACAGGGATCAATAAAGTATACATTATTATTACATTATAAACAAGTTGCTCTACTAGTGAGGAGAGTGGAACCCAGTATTTTAATTTAGCAACTGATGAAGTCTAAAGCTGGTCAAAGAAACTGACTTTCATTTGCAGTCATGTAAAAAAAAGAAGAAAAAAAAAACTTCCACAGGACTATGCACTTTAGCAGCTTGTAAAACCACGTTTAACAGCAATTTCTACGTGACTTTATCAGTCTCTCACATTGTTGTAGAGGAATTCTGGCCCACTCTTATTTACAGTGTTGCTTCAGTTCTTTGAGGTTTGTGGGCATTTGTTTATCTACAACTCTTAAGGTCTCAACGCCGCATTTCAATCAGACTCAGGTTTGTGCTTTAACTGGGGCATTGCAACAGCAGTATTGTTTTGTTTTCCATTTTTAGCCATTCTGTTGTACCTTTGATGCTTTGCTTGGGATCATTGTCTTGCTGCATGACTCCTTATCAGACCATATATAAAGTAGACAGAAAGGCATGAAGTGGGAAAAGAAAGGGCCTCGGGTCTGACCCAAATCTAGGCTGCTACCTTTCACCCTCACAGAGGCTTTCTCCCAGCAAAGTAAGCACTTGTTCAGTCTTTTGTACTGCCACAAACATTAACATGCCAACTCACACCTGTAGAGTCTGTAATCTGGTTTTACTGACTACTTAAATCAGTTCGGAATACAAACCAAATTTAAACAAACATTCATATGCACTTTATCTACTACTCATCCACAGGAACCATCACGCTGTGACGCAACAGTGGGCACTAGTTAAACACAGCTGAGAGGAAGCCCGAAAGAATTTAAATGAAACTGCAACAAATGAATCGTAACTACTCACAATGTATCTTAAAGTCCTTGTACTGCCGGTCTTCAATGGCTACCACGTAGAGCGCTGCTCTGTCAGGGAACATCAGGCCTCCAGGTTTCTGAATACAAGAAGAAAAAAAAGTCAGATATCCAGTGAACACACACACAAAGGCCATCAATCACTCATACTGTTCACACACCTGGCATGTAATAAAAGATCACATGTGCTGAGTTCAAAGCCTGCTGACAGCCATTGAGGTTAGCAACCTGATCATTCATGTATGACCTCAGCATCTGGCGAGCAGACACATGCAAGCGAGCGTACAGTAAATTCTCCACTTCATCGCTGTGTGCTGTGTCTATGTGTCAAATAGCCTTATTTGTCCAGCCAGCCACTCACAGACACACATGCACATAAAGCCCTTCTTAACTCCCCAAACCTCCCGCAGCACCATCTTACCAGCCACTTGTCCCTGGCAAAGATGACCGTGTTGAGCATGGATTCGTAGAAAAGGCAGTAGCCCATCCACTCTGAGATTATAATGTCCACCTTCTCCACGGGCAGCTCCACCTCCTCCACCTTGCCCTTGAAGATGGTAATGACTGCAGTGTGCATAGCCACAAAACAGCAGGCAGTAAATTACTTCACAGCTTCTTCATCAGATTAGAGCAAATGACTTTATTCTCGAATGACAATGTTTGTATGCCTTGGGATTGCTGTAAATTAGTACAACTTAATTATTGTTGTCATCTGGCGCCTGATTTTTTTTTTTTTGGTGCATGCATTTTATTTGTCTCATTTCCCCATTCTGACATCTTTGACCTCCAGAGGAAGAAGACACCACCAATTTAAAGAGGTGTTACACGGCAGGGAGTTTTGTATTACCAATTGACCTATGATGTGCAGTATATATCATTAATTTCATTACTAAATATAAGGAAAAATTATTTAAAAAATGTATACATTTTCTCAGGGCAGGTGTTCATTCATTCAGTGAATTTAAGCCATCTGTGTTCCACAACATTAATGAATGCAGTGCACAGATGCTTTCCTTCTAAAGTAGCATAAAGGGGCAGTTACTGAATTTATGCCAAGGTTTTGTAAATTGAGCTAGTCACAAAATTTCATTTATCAAATATTCAGAAATTACAGGAAAATTCAGCAATTCAATACTCTGCCCCTAATAACACAATTGGAGGTTAAATTACCTTTTTCTAATGACTGATAGTCAGTTCTACATCTACTTTTGGAATATTTATAGTTATTAATGCATAAACGGAAGTCCTGACATTATAACTTCACCACTAGTCTATGTTCAGGGGATCAAAAGCCAAGTACCTGAAATGTAAATATAAAAGATTAAATTAAAACCAGCCTAATGTCAAATATGCAGGTTATGAAACCAAGCATCTGTTTCCCATCCTCCCTCTGTGAAGTTCAGGGTGGCATTTTACAATGGTAATAAGCCCCACTGAGGGGATTCTGATTGATGGCAAAGATTACTGTTATTTGACGAGCTGCCATTTAACCATCAGGACTGTGACTAATATTGTCAAGTGTGACGGTAATGATGGAAATATACAGATTTTACACGCTACTTCTCAACCAGATATGTTTGCATCGTTCTGTCTTCAGATAGGTGGATGTGGGATTATGGCAGTAATGAGAAACAATACTTCTTCTTACCATTGTGCAGGTGATTCGACTTGATAATCTTCTCTGAATATTCAGATATACTTGAGCATTCAATCTGCAGGATCACAGAAAAAAAACTTCCAGTTAAAAGGTCAAGACATGGAGTTATTGGTCTATCTTTAAATTAAAAACAAACAAGCACTTTTTTGATCAATTTATCAATAATTAGAAAATATTTCATGGGTTTTAGTGTGAGTAAACACACACAAAAAATTAATCAAATCCATCTAAAAACACTAAGGGGCTTTTTGCATCTTCAAATGCAAATAACAGTGTCTATGGATGCAGCTGCTGTTCTTCCAGATAAGTCATCTCAGATCTGGTGCCAAATGAAAACTCATGATTAAACCTTCCTATTCATGGGTATACTACAGCCTATAAATCATACATAACTGTGGGTTACAACACCAACCTGTCACTTACAGCTGTTCTCTAAGGGGAGCCAGGTGTCTCTTATTGCCTCTGTCTAACAGAGTTTGCCTGACAAGCTCTTAAGATACATTTTAAAAAAGCCAGGATACTTTTTTAAAATAACTGTATTTGATATGGAGGAGTCAGAAGTCAAATATGTGCAGACTGCAACTATTTCTCTCATAAAGATTTAAGCAGTGAATGTTTGATTGCAGTGAAGCATTTGTTTGTGGTCAGATAGTTCATCTATTTGTCTCACCCCGTACACATGTTTGGCACCGGCGTTGGCAGCAAACATTGAGAGGATTCCAGTGCCGCTACCGACATCCAGGACTATTTTATCTTTGAACACGTGCTTGTTGTGGTACATGGCATTCCTGTAGGTCAGTGTCCGCACCTCATCTTTCAGCATCTCCTGCAGTGATAATAAGAGTAAGAGTCCATGTTACCTGATGATTTTTCCAGTACCGGCACGCATACAAAGGACCAAAAACTCAACTACCAAAGAGCAGTGTGATTCATAAAAATCCTCAAAGGAATACATATTACACATTATGTTACATAATGGATCTACATTGTGGCAAGTGTGGGCAGTTTTGAGAATACATTGATTTTTTTTCCATGAGTAATGATATGGAAAAGGCAGTATTTAGGCCAAAAGCGTTAGTGACAGTAGCAGAGCTTCTTGAAATAGACAGGAGTACAACACAAAGCCTTTGGGGACTGCCTGATACCCATCTCCCTGAGCCCATTCACATATCCCACTTTCCTTCTTTTTCACTTTGCACTGCTTTAATCAGGACACACTGGTTGACTGCAAGCAGACAAAAAGCTGACCTATATGCTAAATGCAGACACTGTTTAAGAGGTCTATATGTTCCTAAACTTTTCCACCATCTCTTTGTCACATACCAAGGTCATTAGTTGGGCTGTGGCCTTGGCACTTTACTTCAGATAGTTTTAAAAGACAAACAAACACTTTTTACTACTGGAGTGCTGAATATGGATTTTTACCCTGCATATAATGTTTTTAGTGGTGCTTGGTAATAGAAAAGCCTTGTGTTTTGTCAGTTGTCAGCTACTCTTAAATTCCCCTCATGAAATCACTTTTAATACTTAAAGTTTGGTTCATGCTGGGAGTTTATTATTCGATAAATTTAATAATTTCAAAAATGTTGCAGATGCTTTTGTTTAAATCTCAAACTCCTTTTAAGGACAGATTCTGAGAGTTCTGTTTTTATTTGTCTCCATTTTGTTGCGTTTAGTCGTTCGTTAGGCTTTCCCTTGGCATCTGTTACCTTAAGTGGATCTACTGAACTTAAGGTTTGATTTCTGTATGCACAAGGTTAACAGTTATTGAAAATACAGCATAAGAATATGCATCAAAATCAAAATAAAAGCCCAATTGTCCTTGTATATTATAGTGTTAAATCGGTTTAGGTTATTTTTTGACATATCCTACTAGTGTAAAGCCAGCCAAGCATGGTTGAAATTCCTTGGCAAAGATAGAAAGAGTCAAGGGGGTGCCTTTTTTCTTTAAATTCTAATCATACCAAGCTGCTGTTTTTCCAGCCCTGTCTGCATACCTCATGGATGCCAAAGTGAGCATACGAGTCAAAGTAGTAGTCCCGTGATGTCATTTCCTCGGGGCTGATGAACTTGGCAATCTTGCCTCGACCAGGACAGGTGGCCAGTGCTGCTACATGAGGCGTATGGGGAACGCAGGGCACATGGTGGGTAGTAGGCACTGGTTTAGGCAGTGGGGAGGGCTGAGCAGACTGAGAAATGGGGGACATTACAGGCTGCTGCCTCTGTTAAGGACATACAAGAAAAGAAAAAATAGGGAGAGTTTGTAGCATCATTTACACATCACAGTCAAGTTAATGGTTTAAAACGAAATTATGGGAATACATAGGTTACAGGTTAATAACGGTCTTCTAGAGAGATCATTCAATTCAAACCAAGAATAAACTCTGAAATGTTTTTTAATTGTATTGTAAAGCCATTTCCATAACACATATGAGACAGCGGTGATACACTGTGCACTCATGGAGGAGCCGGCAAGAGATGCAGGTTCCGCTTCAGCACCAAGGACAGCGGACATTATCACGTTCAGCAGCCCATGTCCGTGCATCAGTAATGAACCACTTAATCAAAATGCAAATATTCCATATGCATCGTCTATTTTAACTGCATTTCCATGCGTCTTTTGAGTCTAGAGCTGTCCTGACATCTGCAGGACATGCACTTTACTTAGCTTACAAGCCATCAGTGCAAAATCTATTCTTAAACTCGTCTCCATAATTATCGCTGAAAAATACAGAGATATGCATAATATCTACACCAAATGTGTTGACACGATCAAAAAATACCAGACGGAGAGTTCACCGGTCCCGCTAAATGCGGTGCAGGACACCACAAGGTCCCTACCTCTGAGCTGTCCGCCTCCGCCATCTTCCGCCGTAGCAGCAAACAACGCGACGAATGCCTCAGTCCCATGAGAGCTGACGAGATTTAGGCTACAACTCTTTTAAGTGTTCGGGGGCTCTGAAATCCTAATAGAAACGTGGGAAAAATAACAGAGAGCCACAGAATATGACTGGAACACACGGAAAAGTGAGGGTCATTCTAAGAATGTATCACAATTTCTTACAAATTAGGCTAAACCCACTCCCGGTGGAAAGTTGTGAACATGAATTTGAGCGAGGTGAAACGTTCGGATATCCATACTATAAATGCGATACAGGTTGTTTTTAGTGGGAGGACTCAGGGAGGCAGAGCAGTCTATTGGCTGGAGAGATGGTGTTGCGAGTAGAAGGTTGTAGGTTTGATACCAGCACTAGTCGGTCCTTCCGTTAAAACCCTCGTGCGCCGCTTCAGCGTAACCCGCTCGCTCATTTTTACATCTCCGGTAAAAGCAGGCTATCAGAGAAGACGCGAAATGTGCCGCACCACCACCAAGAAAGACATTCAGTCGCGTATTACAAAAGCAGTTCCACAAAAATGCTTCTCATCAGCCACTTCATCTCTTGGAAACAGCTCTCATCACAGGGACTCCGACACCAAAAGTCGCATCTTTTTGTGTTAAAGCCCTTTTAGTTGTAACGCCGAAGGCTTTCTCCGCAGAGAAAGTTTAAAAAAGGGGAGTTCAAACTGCTTAGTGTGCACCCGCCTGCCCGTTAAACTGGGACCCCGCTGACGACATGAAATGAGTGGTGACAAAAATACAACTGTCACCAAAAAGAATAGCTTAATATCTGCCTTCTCAAAGCTAGATTCCTTCTCACACCAGACTTTCCCACAGTTAAAGGACCCAGGCAACCGGCAAGGTTCTCAGTGGTTCGCTTATATAACACAGGTGTTTGAGTTGGAGAAGAAGAAAAAAACAACTGCAATACAAACGTGGTATGCTAATTCTGACCATGAGGCTGTTTAATGTTGAGAGAGGTGTAAGCTACCTATAGGTCCCTTAATGATATCTGAATTGTAAATCGATTAAAGGTGTGCAGCTTCCGATTAGTAGCAGTAAATAGTTTTTAATTACTTGGCACAAAGCCTATCAGAATCGAGGACCAACGTTCTAGAATTATCTAGACATAAAGAACCAATCAGCTTCAGAGGAAACTTTAAATCATGTTATAGTTACATTGTTACTTGAAAGTTGATTCCGTTTATAATTTCATGGTAATTTGTGGAAAGCTAAAAATGATTTTGACGATATATTTTTTCAGTGTTACAACCAAAACGTACAAAAAAAGCTATTTGACCCGATTCATGACTGAGTAGTCTACCACAGACAACGCATGGAAACAGTCATGTATTCGTTGTTATATGAAAATCAGTCAGAGCAGGTCCATTCAAACAATACACATATACATTAATTTCTGAGCACATTTTTTCATACGTTATTCGATCATTTCCGTTTTGGAATCTTTATTTTAAGTGTTAGAATATATCCATCCATCCGTTTTATGTTGTTGGGGGACAGCAGCCTCAGCAAACCATTCCCCTCCTCCTGGACTCACCGAGGCGTTCCTATAGGCCAGACAAGAGATGTAATCTAGCCTCCCGGTAGGACATCCCCGGTAAAGCTCGCACAGGAGGCACCCAGGGGCCCACCTCACACACCATAGTTAAAATATTTAAATTTCAACTAAATTTGTAGTAATGATCGGATTTCCTCGCTTATCTACACCACACTCCTTGTCCCTGATTTCTTATCATTTCTTATCGTTCCTCTGTCCCTTAATAGAAACCACATATATAGAAACTATCCTCCCTTTCAGTTGTCTTTTGCACTTCCATATTGGAAAGTAGTTACTGTAGGTTATTTTCTGCTTATGCGTTAATGTAATTAATTAACTTATTTATCCTTAAGTAAGGTAATGACTTGAGTTCTAATGCTTTTTGTCTCTTGAGTTAGCTGTCAATGTGGGATTTTTTTCCCCTTTTGTTCAGTTAAAGCTGCCTTTCATTCTTCAACACAGCTTAAACTCTAATAGGTAAGCTTTCTTGTAATTTCTTAGTTCTGCAGGCTTCTTGAAAGACATCCGAGACTCTTCTTTGGATGCTGGCTGCCTTTTGTTTTGTTTTCTGTCAAGATGATCCCACACCGCTTCGATTATCTTGAGGTTCGAACCCTGGAGAGATCAATCCATGACTGATGCGTTGTTTCATCCAGGCATACTTTGACTACATTGGCAGTATGTTTGCGATCATTGTCGTACTGAAAAATGAAGTTGCTGCCAATCAGACACTAACGTGGTATTACATGGTCGATCAAAATCTGGTGGAACTTTTCTACATTCATAATTTGATTAATTTGGATAAGAGCTCCAACAACACTGGCTGAAATCCAGCCTCAAAGCACGGTAGAGTATCCACGCTGTGTTAAAGATGGCTATAGACATTCACTGTTGTATCTCTCTTCGGACCTCTTCCATGCATATTTCAAATTTGGATTCATTACTCCATAAGACATATTACAGCTGATTTTTTTTTCCCAGTCAATTTCTTGTGTAATTTGGCACACCTCAGCCTTATTTTTCTCTGTTCTCCTTCCTTAAGAATGGCTTATTAACAGCCACCCTTCCAACTCAGATAACTTTTGATGAGGTTTCAGTGAACAATAGGCTGTTTAAATGAAGGGCCAGCTACATCTCAAATGGCCTTCAGAAAGCCTGGAGATTTTTCAAGACCATTATAAAAAATGACAAGCAAGTCTGGCTCTGTGGAATCAAAATCTAAAGAAATGAAGAGTGGCTCAAGACTTTTGTACATTACTGTAACTCCTGTAACTTTTAAGCATGCTGCCCTCTTTCTTCATTCCAATCAAAAGTCACAGCAGGTGCTTTTTTAGTGGCTGCAAAAGTCAAAACACCTGCTGTGTCATCACTGATTGTGTTGTGGCTCTAAGCACAACAAATGTGTACTTTGAATCAATAGCGAGCAGTGTGATTGACCATTTTTAGACTTTTTTTTTCTTCCCAGTAGCCTACCGATATTCACTGGTGTTGTTTCAGGTCAGAGATTTCTCCCCTTGTATTTCACATCAACCTCATGTAGAGCTGACCCTAAATCATTCTATTTCTATTTTACACCTGATTACACAGTTGGCCCTCCTCAGTCTTTTAGACATACGACTAAAAGAAAAAAGTATATGTTTTGCTTAAGATGGGATAGAAGATCATGTTAGTGAGAGAATAATGCAGTTAAATCCTGCAATGTAATATTCACGCTGCCTTCTTCCAAGAATATCAAAATATCTTTCATCGCACAATGTTTGATTTCCATTTCCAGAGGTATCCGTACCTCTTTCATTACTCTCCCTCAGTCTTTTCATAGTCTATCAAAGGATTCAGTTAATAGTAACCCACTTTGAAAAACATAACAAAACATTTGTCGCAAGGAAAAATGGGCTCATTTCCCATTAATGACAGACAACACACAATGAAACACACTGGTTTTTAGTCACAGTTATGGGTGAGCTCCATCAGTGGTGCTTAAGAAGATCAGCCCACGCATCACACTTGAGGATAATGCGAGCGCATACACTTTATCATGCACACAAATCAGTGTGGGGGCAGGAGCACACAGGCAGGAGTCAGGAGTGAAAGCAGTGGGCAGAATACTATTGATTGACTTATAAGTCTCACAAAGCTGTGAGCGTGACAAAGACGTGAGTCGCAGCGAGTTCCATCATAAACCTATAGTGTTAAAGACTCCAAGCAGGGTAGCAGCAAGGCTCGGCGACACTGACCTTTAGCCTGTAATTATATGAAGAATTAAATATCTCTATATCTTCTTCAAGGTGTGTTATGTCTTATGCACACACTTAACCAGAGCCACTGTAATCTTTTGAAGCAATGTAGTGCATTCAATGGGTCAAAATGGCACAGGGAAGACGTTACAGTCCTTTTGTATTTATACGAGTTCTGCCTAAACTATGAGGAATGCAATATAAAGGAACGATATGAGAAAATCAGTCTTGACGTGAAGTTTATTCAGGTAACTTTTCAAATACATAAAATCAATTCATTTCCAGTTACTGCTAACTACAAAAAACAGCTTAAACAGAGAGTCCATCTTCTCATCTTAGTATCATCTCTTTCTGTGAATCTGATAAAGCTTTTAATTTGAATTTGATAACAAAAAGCAGAAGGTCTGGCATGTATTTCTGTGTGTGTGTGTGTGTGTGTGTGTGTGTAATTTTTTATTTTTTAAATTCGCCTGCATGTAACCTTGTTTAAATACGAAAATATACATACAAATATCTTATCAAAGTCTATCTTACTTACATTATGAAGTCAGCTGGTAATTTTAGCCACTGAAATATATTAACATCATAGCTTAAATATTACATTAGACAAAGAAGGCAAACGCATAGAATGATCTTGTGATGAACTTCCAAGCAGATATAGTTTTACATACCGATTATGGAAATGCTGAAGCCTAGTTTGTCTTCTGCAAATGAGGATCATACTAAGCTAATCTGTGAGGTACAGGTGTTATGACAAGAGGGGCAACATTCATTTTGTCTGTGTTATAATGAGGGCAAAAATATGGATAAAGTTTGTCTTTAAAGCAATAGCCACTGAAAGAGTAGATGTGTGACTTGAAATCCACATCATAGAAAGAAACCACTCCCTTATCGTAGTCCACGAAGATGCCCACTTTTTGAAGCTTTTTTAACTGTACCAATATAACAGCTGAATTTTCATATCCATAATACTTGCCCTCACTTAATCCGATGGTCCAATAACCATCTGAAACTGATAGACGTGTGTCTCCCTTTCTATCTACAGACTCTCTCACCACTCCAACAGTCCACTTACTCTTATCTTTCACCTGCACCTCAAAGTAAAACTTCCCCCCTGTGAAGCCCTCCTTTGCTAAGACTTCTGGATACATCTCAAATCTTTTTGGATTTTTTGGAAGATTCTGTTTTTCTGCAGTTCCAACTTGTTTTCGGTCTTGACTAATGGTAAGTGAGCAATGTGCTGTGTCGGGATCAATAGTCAGGTCTACTGCATGTTCTCTCATTCTTTTCATTTTGATCTCTGGAACTTTCTCCAAAATTATATCAGCTGTTTGTTTCACCTGAGCCATGGCTCTTCTCACTTCATTAAAAGACAAGTTGCTGTAAACACCAGCACTGGACCAGCCCTTACTTGAAGGAGCCCGTAAGCTTGAGAAGTTCTGGACAAGACAGTGATGGTCCTCAGATCGTGACAGCTGCTCCAGCTGGCTTATTCTGCTTTTAAGCTCAGCAACTTCCATCCTCATCTCTTTCAGAAAACCTTCAGCCTTTTGTTTCATCGCTCTGTGCCTCTCTTCAATCACCTCAACAACATCAGCTTGACTCTTCTGAATAGAGCGAATGAAGTCAGTAAACATCTGCACACTGGCTTCTTTCTCTTCATCGGCTTCTTTCTGGCTGGCATCAAGTGACTTTTCAATCGCATCTATCTTATCGCATCGTGATTGTATCATCTTGTGGATATTTGCCATTACCTCATCATTTTTTGCTAACACAGCCTCATACTCTTCCTCTAGCGAGATGACATTGTGACTCTTGTGATCGCTTTTGAAACACAACACACAAACACAGGCCTTGTCAGTCCTACAATACAGTTCTGTTATCTTGTTGTGCTTTTTGCACATCCTCTCATCAAGATTAATCACAGGATCGATTAGTTTGTGGCTCTTAAGCACTGAAACTCTCTGATGAGGCTCCAGGTGGACTACACAGAAAGAAGTAAGGCACATCAAACAAGACTTAACGGCCTTTTCTTTCATCCCGGTGCAGATATCACAAAGAACATTTGTTCCTTCTGGGAGCTCTCGGTCTGAAGTTGACACTTTGACTTGGACCAGCTTTGCAAACTCAGCCGCTAACTCAGACATGGTAGTGTTGACGTTGAGTTCAGGTCTCGAAGAAAATGTCCTTTTGCAAAATGGACACTGACAAACGTCACTAGAGTCCCAATACTTGTGGATACACGGGCGGCAGAAGTTGTGTCCACACGGGGTTGACACTGGCTCGGTAAACACGTCCAAACAGATGCAGCATAAGAACCTCTCCTCTGACAACAGACTGCTGGCAGTTGCCATATCTGCACAAGAGCGAAATACAATAAATAAATGAATACTAATAACCTAAAACTAATACAATTCAACTCAGTGGACTGAACAAACTGCTCAGACTGTGTAAGAAACCAGTAAAGTAACCATACCTGCAAAGTCTCAAGTTTCTGATTAATAAAAGCTGCGAAAAATAGAAAGCAAACTTTCTCTATTTAAAAAAACAGTTCTCTTTGAGGGGTTTTACTTAAGTTTCGTTTCAACACGTTGGCGTCCAGAAGCGACCCTCCCCCAGTGGTCACTTACGATACGCCTCTTAATTTTTTTTAACCCTTTCATGACATTAAAATTGGTGTGAGCCGCATTAAAAATATATATAATTTAAAAGTGCTAACTAAGGGGGCTCTGGGAAGCTCGTTTTGGGGTTTGATGTAGGTAAATTTATTATGGATTAAAACGCCCCCCCCCAGAAAGTTCTAAATTATAGGCTAAAGTAAATTGGTTACGTGTTAAAACCTTATACTGATATAGGATAAAGTAAAATGTACTAAATTAAGGAATTGTATTGTTTGTATTTGTAAAGGTGTTGAGACCGTTTGCTCAAACCCACAGGCGTTAGCCTCCAGAGGGTGCTAGATGGAACGTGTGCGAATCACTCAAATCATTCGGATCCGTCCTCTTGGGAAAATGCATGTATGGAGAAGTGTTCACACTGATAGCTGTGATTTTTACTTGGACCAGAATCGCAGGCCAGCTAGCTGATGGACAACTGAGATGGTTTGTAAAGCTAGAATAAGGTGTGCACACATTTTCCATGCTAGATTAAAAATCTCGAGTGCCTTCAAAAAAACCCCCAAAACAAAACAAACAAAAAAAGAAGAAGAAAAAAACACTCTGGGATTAATTATAGTTTTTGATGGCTACTCCAACCTCCCTTGTTTCCGTTGTGAATCTGTCAGCTGATGCTACATGGTGTTGCTCTGCTTAGTATGCTCAGTTCCATCTGTTGACATTGTCCCAGAGTTCCCACACACAGATTGCTTTCACTGCTTGTGTTTCTCTACTTCTTTGTGCTTGTGTTTCTCTAGTCCTCTAGTTCTTTGTGCGTATGCTTGTGTCTTGTGAGGCAGGAAGACTTGTCCCTTAGGCTTTCACTGTAACAATTTCTTATTTTATCTACAGCAGCCGCTTAGTTCATATCCAGGAAATCCTGTAGTTCATCCTGACCTTTCCTAATCCATCAAAGAAAAATAGCAACGAGGTTAGCACAAGCTGATAAAACTCTGTAAGATTCTTGATGTTTCTTATCTCTTGCAATTTGGCACCTATAATCTGCCTGAATTGTACTGCAGGCACTGCAGCACGTGGCAGTCTGGGTACAAGAAGTCAGCCATAAGAAGTAGGATCTGAGTAGCTCTTTAAACAAGTATCATTTCTTGTTTTTTAAATTTCTTGTCTTCTCTTTATGACGTGAATAGAAGGCTAGATAAGCAACTGGTGCTAAGAATTGGTTAGGAAGAATGTGAAATTTAAATGAATGGATGCAATAATCACACATGCACACACCAGTGCACACAATGTTTGCTTTCCCCTTAACCTGTTTGTGATTGACATGCACACTCAGTCATGACCTACTCCTACCCCTTTGTGAGAGAAAGAATTGGAGAGCCTAGTGGGTTACAAAACCATGAAAGGTGATAAAGTAACTCCAGCAGAATGGGACTGGACACAGAGGGAATGGTCTGGCACTGAAAAGAGCTGGCTTAAGACTAAGCAGAGCAGGTCAGCCACTAATCAGAAGGTCGGTGGTTCGATCCCAGGCTGCCTCCTGGCTGCATGCCAAATATCCTTGGGCAAGATACTAACCCCGTGTTTGCCTACTGGTGGTGGTCAGAGGGCCCGGTGGCGCCAGTGTCCGGCAGCCTCGCCTCTGTCAGTGCGCCCCAGGGCAGCTGTGGCTACAATGTAGCTTGCCATCGCCTGTGTGTGAATGGGTGAATGACTGAATGTAGTGTGAAGCGCTTTGGGGTCCTTAGGGACTAGAAAAGCACTATACAAATGCAGGCCATTTACCATTTAAGCCAGATTTCTGTTTATTCTGCCATGTCTCACCTATGAGAAAGTGGAAAACAGGCTCCAAGTTGCTAGTGATGGCCTGTTTTATCACACTCTGATTAGACAATATTTATTGGGGAAAACCTGACCTGATTCATGACATCCTCTGCTAAGTAATGCTGTTTTCTTAGACTGACTGTCGCCAGTCCAGGTGCCCACTGCCGAGGCCTGCAGCCACCATCTATTTCTAAAAGCTTGCAAGCACATTGAATTACTGAGGCGGAAATAGAGGAAACAGCCCACTGCAGAGTCTGTTTTGCTCAGAAAAGGATGCCTTGTTGTGATAAAGATTTATCATTACAATAAAAACTCATCACTGAACACACTGGTTGGACAGGGATGTAAAGCAACAGAAGTGACATAGGAGTAAGGTAGTTTTTATGTTGTTAACATTGATATAAGTGGGTACCAGAATTACCATGGTGTTTACCTTTTTTTTTACAGTTTTATCTCTTTATTTTTCCCTGCTTTTTTTGTATTCTTTGGTGATTAAATTATTGCTGAATTGTAAAAAGAAAACAAAAACGTCTAGACAATCAAATGAATGCTGATAGGCTCATTCCTGAAATACCAAATTTCCATTTTTCTCTTTGAGGTCACAGAGTTGGTCTGTTCAATAATTTCATAGTCAACTTCACATTATGAAGAGCAAATTGAAATGTGTTAAGTGGCATGACTAGAATTATTAATCAGATTTATCCAACTGTAGTAATAGAAATGAATAGAACCTGCATGCAAACAAGCCAATGTGCCAAGGCTATGCTCACAGTAAATTATGCTTTTTTGACTCTGTCTTTGGTTATTCATGCACACCCTATTGGAAAATTCTTCAGAGGGGTTGTGGTTACATTGTAACCAAGGTTATGCTGTTAATGGCACTGTGGTATTCAGACTACCTAGTGGTATTGAGTCAGTTCCTTCTCTGTCACTCCCTACTATGTGACACGGTTAACTACTGCAGCCTTCCTTGACTACCCGTTGCTATGCCTATTATGCAGATTTCTGTTACTACCCAGACTGTTTAATATTTTTACACAATCATACTTTTACTCGGCAGCAATATCTGTACCAACAAAGTAAATGATGTACTTTGTTTTATTTTGCGTGTGAGTAGAGAGGTCATTGTTGGAACTCACTGTAACCTACACTGTAAGTAATAATTGTTGTATTTGAAACATGGAGGCTATTTGTATTGATTCATTTTGTAGTTTTAGTGTCTACCTGCACATATATGGAGTTCATTTTATTACAATTTGTTACAAATCAATGTAATGAATTTTCTTGAAACTCGAAAATACGAGCTGCAAGCAAAAGCACCATCCGCACAGACTGTCGGACACCCTGAAAGCAACAAGCTTGACTGGACCGGACAAAACGCCCACTGCAGTGGTGCCGTAGACTCTGAGTAGACGGAGATAAACAAGGTCCTTTTTCCAGCCTTAAACGTCGGTCTGGTGAGTATGTGGTCAGATATAAGATGAAAACGCCTGTTTGTCTGTCTAACTGTGAGATAATGTGTTTAAACTTTGTCCTGCCATCGGCAACGCAGGTGGGACATTTATTTTTTCAGGATTTACAGGACAGCTATCTTGAAGAAGAGGGGGGGAAAGTTTGACTTACACAGAAAAGGACTTAAGTGTCTGTGTATTGATTCGTAGCTTGTGATGCTGGAGCACAACAGCGCAGGTTAAAGTCTAAAATGTCCGAGACCGGGCTTTTTTCTTTTTCTTTTTAAGGGGGACCCGTGTTCGTTTCCTCCTAATTCATCTGGACAGACTGTTAAAAGCAGGAAGGCCTTGTTAGGAAAGAGTTAACGGCCAGCTTAGGCACTCTAGGCACTCTAAAATCAGGCAAATTGTTTAATTTCATTTAAATTTTATTTGTCATTTAATAGTTTGCAGTAGGCACGAACACGGAAAGGAAATTGGCTGTATTTACAGGGGAGGTTAAAGGATATTTTGAAATTTGGGTTCATAAGGGGAACCAAGAGGATAAGGGGGGCATGGGGAATACTATGTTAAAAGTAAACCTCAGGGTGTTTTTGTTTTTTTTGTTTTTTTTGTAGTGTTCTGTGCCCCACTACAGATTGCATTACAGTAAAAAGTGGAACTGCACAAGATTCTCTTTTCCACTAGCACCTACTTGGCTTGATTTTCCTCTGCTCTACTCTGTTCAATTTTTGTCATTTTCCATTGCAATTGGCAGGCTGAACCTAGGGCTAGTTGCAAATCTATGGCAGGGCTTACACATATAGAACATGCATGACTTTGGACTCTGGGAGGAATGCAAAGTATTGGGAGAGAATGCATAATTGCATGGGAAGAACATGTAAACATTAGACACAGTTTGGCCCCAGCCAGCCAATGGATTCAAACCCAGGACCTCCTTACTGTGAAATAAAATAGGAAATAAAATCAGTTACTCAATCAAATTAATAAGAAGCTCACTGAGCACAGATACTGGTTGTGTCTGAACCACACTGGGCTGGACTGAAGAAGCTGGACTACATGGTGGTTCAAAGGCACTCATTTGTGCTGTTCCCAACCCTGTCTCTTTGTCTGCTCTTTGGGTTTTATACACCCTGCTTGCTCTCTCTGCCATCTCCACATCATCTGCCTCTTACTCCTCCTCTTCTTCATCCGACTCTCCCACCACTGCTCTCTACTCCCTCACCTACAGCTCTTTGTTCTCACTTGAAGCTTTGTCTCCTGAAAAAAAGATGACAAACCTTAAGGAAAAGTTAAGGATAACCTCAATAACTTACCTCACTGTCACTGTCATCAGTCAGTAGTGAGATTCCTGGACTTACAGAAAGTTTATAGCCTCCTCCAGGGTATATAAATGTGGATGCTTCGCACCCAGTAAACAGAGATCTTGTAGACTATACTTAGTACAGATGAACACCAGGGACTGGGTAAATTATCATAAAAGATTTATTTGATGGAAACCTGTTTTTTTTAATTTATTTTTTATTCCCTTTTTAAAAATTTATATTTATACAGTTTTCTCCATTGCCATTGAAAGAGTGGTTTATTTTCCACAAACCTTGTCTTTATACTGCCACAGTCGCCCCCTACTGGCCAAAAAAACAATTAAATAAAAAGAAAGAATAGTAATGTTAACACTTCTGCACTGGGTTTACTTATCAGGTCTGGAACCTTCTCTCACCTTCTATACAATGGACCCATTTCAGAAGCATATACATTATGTTGATCAATAATAGTTATTGACTCAGCAACTCAGCCGTATATAATTTTCTTGTTATGCTGCTGAGAAGCAAATAGTCTATAGAATAATTTATTAATACATTTAAATGAATTATTAAAAAACAAAATCTGCAAGGTAACTGCTTATTGAAACTTCAAAATAAAACTTGATTCACTGCTATTTATAGACACACCTATGCTTTTTTTCATCATTTTTATGTTTACTTTTTCTGTTCTTCATATATTAGTCACAAATGCTTTAGAGAGAGAGCATTGTTGCTCCACAACATGTCAGATAAAATCTAAAAACAAGGCAATTAAGGTAAATTATCAAAAGATAACTGAAGTATTGTAGAAAATGCTGTAGATATTTCAGATGAAACCCCATTCCCATTTACTGTTTATGAGTGAAGGTAGATGGAATATCTCAAAGCCTGAATGAAGTGGAAAATTTCATGCATGGAGAGACAATTTTTCCTTTCGTTTTCCTTCTTCCTTTGTAGACAAGCTGACCCTTTAGCAAGCTTACTAGCTTGCGTGTTTACCTTATTCATTTTCATCCCCAACAAATGATTTATTCATCACTTTTCCTCTCAGATCTACACCTACAGTATTATGTGTATTATTCCTGAGCCGGCAGACAGAAAAGCTGCAACATTTTCTTTTATGCTCTGTCCGCTGAAGGATGCTATTTAGATCAATTGTATAGGTCTAAGTGCTTTCCACACCCACGGCCTTTTATTTACAGGGCCAAGACTAGAAGCTCAATTAATGATTCATAGGGACATGTCCTAGTGATAATTCAAAGATGTGGTTTGTGATATAACAAAAGCATGTCATATTGGGGCCTTGGATGCTGCATCACTAAACAACTAGTAATATGTCGTGCAGTGAGAAGTCTGCACATGGGAGTTATGTGCAGCTGGATAAGTGTAAATGTGTGAACAATACTTGTTTAGCTATTTTTGGGTAAAGGAAGGAATGTAAATGCTAAAAACACATCTAAAGAAAACTATAGTAAGATTTTTTTTTTTTATTGTGATACATTTTTTAGCAGTACTTTGCAGGAAAATGTAATGTTTCCAACAAACAAATCTGCACTTATAGAATTCAACTGAAGACAAAAAGATGTCGGTGGGTTATAAAGATGACCAGAACGACTGGGTGACCGTGTGCCTCAAGTACCTGCTCTTTGTTTTCAACTTTCTCTTCTGGGTAAGTGGCTAGTAATCCTCATTTCAAGTAATGTGTACTCACAGAGACCTCACCACAATAACTGAGCTTTACATTTAACGTCCTGGTGAATTGGATCGTCATTGACAACATCAGTAGCAACTCTGTAAAACTGTCTGTGTTCCTTTAAAACTGCTTTTTTTTAGAGACATTGCTCATACAGAGCCACATAGAAATAGGAACAGGATTAAGGAAAGTTTTCAGTCTTCCTAGGCTAAGCTATGGACTGAGTTCAAAGTGAGTCATAGATTATTTAGGGCTTGTCAGTGTATTCTGGCCACACAGTGTATTAAACCTGCTCTCTTGCACCACACTTTATGCTGCTAAAGCTCCGCTCTCTTACAGCATCAGTGCAGAGTCTTTGGGCTTACAGAGTCAAAAAAGAAGATTTTGAGGAGCGAGAGACAGATCCGTAAGTGGGAGAGGTTAGAAAGAGAAAAGGGATCAAGCTTTAGCTTTAGGCCTCTATTAAATTCCCTGTCGCCACCTAACAACCAGTCTCTTGAGGAAAAATAGTATCATTTTCCTCTGAAGGCTGTCCTCCATCTCGCAACACTTTTTTCTAAGAGGGCATTTTTGTCCACCCCCTACACAAATTAATCATAGGCGGGGGAGCAGTGCATACTCTGTGAGGATGAACTGGCATTGGCCATTTCTGTTTTTCACTTTCTTAGCACATTACTTTTAAAAGAGAGTGCATCATCTAGGGATTTCTCATTTGTCCCTGTTTTTCACGGCGCTGTTATTGGCAGTCATCAAAAACACAGATATCATTAGTTAAAGCAAAATTGAATAAAGTAATGTTTGACATGTGCTCAGAAAAGAATCCAGCTGATGTGATTAATGCCCGGTTAAAGCATGATTGTTTGGTTAATTGAGGGTAGAATGAAATATAGATTTGGCAGTATATTGTAGTGTTTCCCCTTCCCCTCCAAATTTGACTTGCCAGAGACTTTTTCAATTGATTTTTTTATATGTTATTTATTATATATGAATATATTACTAATGCAGTGTGTCAAGCCTTTCTGATGTAGGATATTTAGGACCGATAACGATATTTGGAGATTTTTAAATCTTTTATATCTCAGCCGATATTTTTTTCTTTTCTTTCAAAAATGGTAAACATGAACTGGTTTCCCTCACACATGTTAGGTACAGTTATTTATGAGTCCTTACTAAGATAATATACCAATGCAGTTTAAAAATAATCTTGATTTATTGACATAATCTTAGATTATTAATTTACGCTGTCTGGTGGACAAGTACACTCTGATGGTGAAACTATGTAGCATCCATACTCAACATGGGTGAAGGTTGTTCCTCCTGTCTCTGCTTTTCTTGTTTAATTATCATCTATTGACGGCTACAAACGTCGGTACTGATATATCGGCAAATAGCTACTCTGTGATCCCCTCACACGATCGCGTGAACCACACCCTGATGCCATTTTACTCTGCCTCCTCCTTGTCAGTTACAGCTGAGGATGGTGTGATTGTGTTTTCAGCTTTCTGCTTTCTTCAAACCTTGCACAGATTTCCACCTGGACTCAAGAATGAACTGATTAGATTTTTGTGGTAAAACATTTCTGGCAACATTTCAAGTTACGTAAGATGTTTATGGTTAAGTCTGGATAGACATGGATGTGCAGCTTCACTACTTGGCAGATACTAAGGCGGTAATTTTATTTTGAGCAGTGATAGTACAGAGATATGAGAACAGTATTGGGAACTACTTTCAGAAAAAGTGATAGCTAACTTAAAAAAATGTAATTCAGTGGAACTTAATTGTTAGAAGAAATGTCTTTACAGTGTTAGAGAAGGGTGATTTCCCACTGGTTGGTCCTCGGTTGGATATGTGGTGTTGTGAGTAAGAGGTCCTTCCTTCTAAAGGAAAGGGATGGGAGGATGAAGAAAGACTCTCTCAGGCATTTCCTATTTGCCCTCCTTTGAAACTTGCAAGATGAGAAAAAGAGATCAGGAAGCCACCCTGGATCAGTTACTCTGTATTGTTTCTAAGTAAGTGGTCATTATGCCCTGGCTTGATTGCAGACGTCTCACCACTCCTGTTAGTTGTTACGCATGGTCACTTTTCTCTGTTTTTCATTCTGTTTCCTCTTTTTTTTTTCTTGCCTCCTTTATGCCCTCTTCCTCTGTTCCATTTCCTTTTCTTTTTCTAAGTGACTCATCTAAAAGCTTTGAGTTCACTTTAAATTGATCACTTCCTGCCCTGAAAAATGTTTCGCTTGAATGTTACAGTACTTGTGTTTTGCTATTCTTTAATAATAAACTGACATGGTACACTTAGTTAAATTCAGTTACATTTCATATCTCGTGTGTTTTTTGTCTCTGTAGTATGACACTTCGTGCTGCACTAAACATTTTTATTTATGTTTTTATTCAGATGTCTTTTTAATCCTGTTACTTTTTCTCTGCTTCTCTTAATTCTTCTCCAGATGGGCGGAGCTGCTGTTCTGGGTGTGGGCGTCTGGACATTGGTGGCAAAGAGCGACTACTTGAGCCTACTGGCCTCCAGCACTTTTGCTGTGTCAGCATACACCCTCATCTTAGCTGGCAGCCTGGTGGTAGTTACAGGCTTTTTGGGCTGTTGTGCAGTCATCCGGGAGCAGAGAAGCTGTCTGTCCACGGTGAGAGACGAGAGAGTGATGGATGGGGGTTTCCGCTTAGGTCCAGGCATTTGTTTGTAGCTGTAAAGGTGTGGGTTAGGCTTACACTTAGGATTCAATGTAGTGTGTGTGTTTAAAATTAACCCGCACGTAGATCATAACTCAGAACTTACAAAAAATATATTTTGATGGCAAACACTCATGCTTTTGGAACAGTTACCAGTTTGTCATTTAAAGGTTTAGAGGAGTGTAGTTTTTTTTTTTTAGAATGAGCATGAGAGAGTTAATCATATATTTTTTTTTTCAAGGGTATTTTTGCTGTAATATAGGAGGTCAAAGTGCAGATGGTCAATGCAGGGCGTGAAAGTGTACATGGACAGTAATTTTGCTGTGATTTTACCAAAGAACATTGCATCTGGAAAACCTAAAAAATCTGTTTAATAATACTTATTAATGTAGAGTTTGAGCATTTTTGTCTTAATTTGCCATCCATCCAAGACGGCGAGTCGATATTTGCTAGTGGAGAATCCACTTTTTTATGTTGAAAGGTCACTTCCACTTAGCCAGCTAGCCCTTGCATTTCCCATCACGTTTTCCTTTCTTGTAGGCAGTTTGGGCCATTTTTTTTTTTTTTGCCATCCCTGGTCATTATTCAGCAGCTTAACAGTCTCTTGTGTTGTGGTCACACTGGCTTTATATGTCATTACGCCAAGGTTGCAGAGATGGAAAACACTCTTACAGTCCAAGACGACTGATTCGGACTCTGTCTGGTGAACGAGAATAGAATAATTCACTTAAGAAAGCATGGGTGTGCTTGCCTCCTCGTTGAGCACAGCAGTCCCACGCTGGCATAAATAGAATGTAACTGAATAGGGAAACACTGCAGAAGATAAATAATAAGTTATGTAATAACAGCCCTGATAGTCTACTGGTCCGTGGTTCTAGATTGTCCACTGTGAGAAGCTAGATGCTCGCCCACACGTACACAAATGTGGCAACATGCGATGGCGCTCATCCATGCTAAGCCTGGTCTAAGGTCTATCGCTAGATGTTGACGAATGACTCTGACGGGGCCCTCGCTGTCCTCATTATTTTACAGAGACAGGACCCAGTGGGAGAGAAGGAGGCGGGAGGTGAACGTTCTCTGCCGCAGGGCTATTTATAGGGTTGTCTATCTACTGGTGATGGATGGAGAGAGAAAGGGCCTTGCAGGAGTGAAGAGGTAGATGCGCGGAGGAAACGGAATCTGCGGTGCAGTTTGGTTCAACTGTTTTTTTGGTGCTATTTATAGATTTGTTTGGGAAGAATAATGAGTGATGCTAGCATGTACAGTAAGTGTTGTGTGCATAGAGAAGTGTGAAGTTGGCATTTTGTGTGGGTAGCAGGCACACAGAGACTGAAGTGCTTTTTTCGCAATCTTGTAACCAAGAGAGACGCAGAGCAGGCTGGGTTTCTGCTCAGCATCATTACTGCGATAGCTGCAAAACAAAAAAGAACATCTGTTTGTGCGTGTGTTAAATATTTCTTCCTTACAGCTGTTTGTTACCAATAGTTTTCAATCACTTTGTTTGGTGCATCTAGCAGGTTGTGCAATAGCATCTGTGTCTCCATAATGGTTCTGAGTTACGCTGTTGTTTTCCCCGCTCTGTGACAGCTGGTCCCTGTTAGGTGCGTGTTTATGTGTCTGTTTGTATATGGACTTGAATTATGTGGAATGAGCCATGTTTTGATGGGTGTACAAACCATCTGATGAACAATAAAAAAGTTGCGTTATTTAAGTGTGGGAAAGCTGGAGTTTTGATCTGCTCATTTTGCAGCAGTCTATCAAAGTACTCTCTGTGTGGGCAATCAGTTCGTCACACTGTTTGCATAACAGTACATACAACAGTGCTTGCCATTAAGAATGACGCTTACAGTTAAAGCCTCTGTTATTCTCATTTTTATTTTTTGCCTCAGCATCCATCTCATGTCTGATTCTTTTTCATTCTTGCAGAGGAAAACTAAACACAGTATTTGAGAGTAGCGCTCAAATACTAAGAAAACGCTAACATCAAATAATAATATTTGAGGATGACGCTCGAATACTGTGCTAATACTGTTTTGTTTTTTCTAAGATAATTTCAGACATCAGTTATGATAAATAGTGAAACTTTATTCTAGTAACGTGGGGAGCTCTGTAAAGATGCCCAGGAGAAATGGCTTTCTGCAGCCTGTCAAATTGCTTTCTGGTTGTCTCATTTCATGCAGGACTGCCATCTGCGTTTGAAGTGACAGATGCAGTGCGGTGACAGTTGATGAAAGTTTATATTGAGCCATCACAAGCGTGAGCAACTTGAGTTAGCAACCAGATACTTCAGGCGACTACTGAGCTAATGAGTGTTCAGTCAAATTTACTGAAATTCTTTTTTGCTCTCTCTTTCTGTCCCGTCTCTCATCCACAGTATTTCATCTGCCTCCTGTTTATCTTCTTGATCGAACTTGTGGCCGGAGTACTAGCTTATGTATACTACCAGAGGGTAAGTGGTCACTTTTTACTGGTTTAGCTGAGTGACGTTGTGCAGTGATGACCCAAGCTGCAGTTTATCCTTGTTGAAATAACTGCAGCAGCTAATCTATGCCTGCAGGCACGTGGGAAAATGAGGTTAAAAAAAACTTCTATCCAGATGATCATCATCAAACTAGTGTGTTGGGGCGTTTCTCATATCAATACACTACAGATGGGATAGCAGAGAGACTACTGGATATAGGAACCGTTTGTGATTTACTGGATGTTAATCATAATCATATTTTGGGTTTGAGTTATACATATTATGATTTTTTTTTCCCTTCTTGGTATATATCAAAGAGCAGGCGTTTTGCAAAGCAGATAAAGTTCTGCAAGAAAAGTTTGAACATTCAGATGTCAAGATGTCAGTGAGGAAACGGGGCAGAGGCTAAAAATAAACAGAACATATCTTTCTTTTTTCTTTTTTGAGCACTTGCTTGGCATTTGAAACATCTTTCAGGCTCACCTTTGACTAAGCTGCATTTTGTTAGTGTGCAGTTATGCTGCTGCTAGTATTAGATTGACCTGCGCTGAAGCAAAAATTACAGATTAGAAGTCAGGCTGTTGTGACAACTTGTGACTGGGAAAGGTAAGATAGGGGGGAAAAATTAGTAGTAAAAGCCAAAAAACAAAGGCTCATAGGCAAGAGATCATGGTGAATTAAACTGTAATTCACAAAATCTGTTTATTTGCTGACTCTTCCTACACCTACATGGAGTTAAACGGCCAGAATTTGCACATGGGTACATCTCATCTGCATTGGATATTATTATGTAGTCATTATTATTTGATGATTTGTTATCATTATTTCATTTATATTCACAAAATTTTTCATGATGATTACATCCACAAAACTGTAATAATGCATTATACATTATAAAGTCATTATATTGCTTGATGGTGACCTACTAGCGGTCTAAAATGACCCTTTGCAGCATTTAATAAAACTAAAGCATGGAAATGTAGCAGAGTGTCAAAGAAGACTTAAAAAAACAAGTAAAGAAGGAAAGAAAGAGAAGTAATTTTCAGTCTTTAGGCAACAAAACCTGGTTAAGTTGGTTAAACTACTTGGGTAAATTTTGTGAAAGAGGGTCAAAATGGTTTGTTTAGGTCTTTTCACTTATATCAGCTCAGACGTCAGCTGCAGTGATGATCCTTTAATTCATTTATATATTGCAGTTACAGGATCAACAGGGTGATGTTAGATTACTGTAGATGACGGCTGCCTACTATTTAAGAATGAATTCAGCTGTGCTTTTTGTGAATCAAGAGACTAATAATCTAATAAATTATAAATAATTGATAAATTATTCATTAAAAACAATTATCATAAAAGAAAATACAGTGACATCAGTATTGTAAAAATCAGAAGGGAACATTCGAGTAAGAGCGTGGAACCAAGCAGGAATAAAGGCTTTCTAAAGCAGCATCCTCAGTGATCCTCCTCTGATGACATGACTCTCTGAAGTGTATCTAACACATTAGATATTCTTGGCATTTAGTTATCGCCCAAACATCTGGCTGTCAGTCAGCTTCAGTCAGTGAGGGCTGCATAGGGCATCTTGTAATCTTTGGGCAGATTTATTGTGATGGAAGAGGGTTCAGTATGGGATAGAATCGCTTTAAAGATAAAGATTTGCATTGTTTCCTGCACCCTGTGTGAGTGTGAGAAAATATATCCAGACATCAAAGGCTGTATTCCTAGTCAATTTTTTTTAGTGTCTTGTTTATCTGTATTCTGCATCACAGCACTCCCCAATGCTACCAATCTATCATCCCCTTATCCTCTCCCTCACCTCCACACTATTTGCACTTACATATCACTTTTTTCAATGCCCTTCTTTGTAGACATCGCACGCGCAATCGTAAATTAAGCAGCCCGTGGGGGGGTTACCACAAAAACATTTGTTTTTACCCCAAAATGATCCCCTCCAACACACCCCTCCAGCCTTCCCACCTTCTCTGTTTCAAACACACTGTTTCTCACTGTGTATGCCTGCTGTCTCTCTCTTTGTTCCTCATTTCCAGCTGAGTGAGGAGCTGAAGCAGCATCTCAACCACACTATGACAGAGAACTACGCTCAGCCAGGAAAGGAGGCAGTCACATTTGCGGTTGACAATCTACAACAGGATGTATGAAATATATTTACAAACTCCTCTGGTGTCAAGTTTCTGTAAGATTGTATTTCACCCTCTTCAGCATGCGCGGTTAAGTATACTTGTACTTGTTATGAATTAATTTGATATATGAAGCTGAAAATTATGCTGACGTGGAGTAGAAGAAGAAATGGCTCATCACTCTGTGTATTCTATCTGGGTTTAGACAGAGCATTGTTCCAAAGATGACAAGTGGAACAGCCGGAGCGGAGCGAAAGTAGTCCCTGAGAGGAAAATTACTGCTGTGAAAATATATTTATATAGTGGCTTGATGTTAGGAATTTGTTTACACTAGATGATACATGAAACCATATTTTAATCAGAATGAGGGATATGGCCTCACACTGTGGAACTAAAGTCTGGGCTTTCCTTTTTCTGCGTCTCCAGTTCAAATGCTGTGGCAGCAACAATTCTCATGATTGGACTGTGAGCAAGTACCTTGTGTCAGGGCAAGCAGAAGGCAGGGCGGTACCTGACAGCTGCTGTAAGACCATCACACCTCACTGTGGAAAGAGGGACCACCCCTCCAACATCTACAAAGTGGAGGTCAGTGCAATAAATGCTTCTGGCAAAATGACAGCAGGCTTATTCAGCCTGCCTGTTGCGCAGCTACAACACAGATTGTGTTGTAGTTCCTCCTGTAGGTTCTATATCTTACAATAATCTTTTGTACAGTTTTGTGAAATGTGTTGCAACCTGGCTATATCCCTGACTTGAGTTATAAATATCAACTAAGTGCTTTTGCAATCAAAGATGAGTGATGATAGCCTAAAGACAGAAAAAAGAGATGGAAGCACTGAGTATACTAATAACTATGTGTAGGCAGTAATCAAAGGAAATCAGTGTTATCCAGTTGTTCAGGGTGATTGCTCATCTTCACAGTCCATTGTTTTTTTTGTTTTTTTTTTCTGGTTCATGCCATATTTGAAGAAATTAAACTGGTGTTTTATTCACTTCTGGTCTGTTGTAGCCAAACCATTTTCAAATATCTGAGGCTGATATTTCATTTCCTGAAATGAAAAGCATCCATCTACTTTCCTAACTGCTGCTGGGTTGCAAGGTCGACATAGGGGCAAAAGGCAGAGATAAACCTCAGTTCATGCCGTCAGATCTGTGGGCATTATTTTTGCCAACCTCCCAATTGTTTTTGGGAGGAAGCTGTGGCACCCAGAGGAAAGTCACAGGCTAAACATGCACAGAAATGCCCGAGCTGAGTAAGAGATTTGAACCAGGAACCTTCTTGCGTTGAGGCAACAGTGCCAGGCAGTGCAGCTCTGTGCAGCCCTGAGTGACTCACAAAACATGCCAGCAAACTTTCTTCTGATAGAATGAGCTCTAAGAAAAATGAATAAAAGATGAGGTTTTGAATGCTTATCCACGCTGCACAGGAGAGGCTCTTCTGCCTTCTCGTGTCAAATCACTCAGTTTCTTCTTATCCTTCACAATGTGCTACCTGCATCATGTGCAAAGACATAAGCATGAAGACATATCCTGAGAATTTAAATAAAATGGTTTGTGGATGATGACTGTATTTATGTTCACTTGTAGGTTTGGGATGATTTATTTATTCATTTTTACTGTGAGTGTTTTGAGCCCTGTAAATACACCTGAGGGAGTAAAGAGGGACTGAAAATGTACTTAAATAATCAAGAACATCCCAGATTCAGTAAAAATACACAACTTCTGAAGGATGTCTTGTTGCTTGCTGAAGCAGTTTAAACTATAGCTATGCAGAAATGCAGACAAAGCTTTCTTGTCTAACTAATAATCTAGTGTAAACTTTAACTCTGTAGGGTGGCTGCATCACTAAGCTGGAAAAGTTCCTTGCAGATCACCTATTGGTTATCGGTGCAGTGGGGATAGGAGTGGCCTGTCTGCAGGTAAGTAATATATACACCCAGTTCAGATGGTTGGTGAAGAAGCAGGATGCATTTCTACTGCCTTCTCCCTGAGCATACAGTGCTTTAAACAAGCCCAGTTGTTATCAGAAATGAGAAACTGCTTTTAGCTTTTGTGAGTGGAATGCTGCCCTTTGTTGAATTAAAAGAAGAAAAAAACTCCTATTACTGAATGTACCCTGGCAGGTCAGGATCCTCTAAATGGACACGTCTTTTCATCTCATCCGATTCTTTCTGTCATCATTATGAGTTTGGTCCTTCTACCTATTCAATTTAGTCTAAGATGGGCTTTTTAGTATTGCAGAGCCCGAGGATATTTTTTTTTTCCTCTTTTTATTGTTTTGCACTTTTCTACCAGCTAACCAAACTGTCTTACTGTAGCTGCAAACCACGTTTAAATTAACTTGAGGTCAACCTAGAACTAAACAAATTTCCACTTATTGTTTCCAGTGGTGTTTGTAAGACTGACAAGTCCACCACTTTACATACAGCTTAGTTTTAATTGGGCACCAGGGGACCGAGAATAAAGACATGAAGCCAGGATTTCACTGCCATAATTATAAAGACTGCAAAAAGCAAAAGATGAGATGACCAACCGTGCAGTCTCTGTGATGCTCACCGCTGTTGGTAAAAGGAATTTAAGCAGAGTCTCCATTAGCAGTGGCTAGAATATAAAGACTTTCTCACAAGAACCAAATGATCTGAAGGGACTTTGTCAAGCATTTAAATGAGGTGCTGAAAATATTGTGAATATATTGAATACATGACGTACACGGTGTAATTTTGTCACTTCTCACTCACATATTAGCATTTTTTCGTAATGTAGGCCGACTTTATGTCTCCTCTTTGTTAAATGTTCAGTCTGTCTTAATGTCGGTGTGCACTAATCTGTCTTTGGTGTGTTGTACTCTGTGTGTGTTTGTTATCACTATAGTTGGTCGGGGCACTCTTGACAGCCTGCTTTATCTATCTGCTCTATAAAGAAGAGGAAGAGGACTTTGGTGCATTGTAATTTGGCTCTAGAGCGCTGCTGGTTTAATCTAAACGAGAGGCAAGGTTGGAGGGCACTGTAGATATTTCATATTTGACTGCCTATTTGTCCTTGCGTGGCTTCCTGTTTTGTGTTAAATGCGAGACCTGCTGTCTGCATGTTTACTGGATTAACATGTTTAATTCGTCGTGAAGCATGCAGCGACTTTGCATTTGGCTGCGTTTTCCAGTTTGTTGCTATGCATTTTGTGATGATGTGTTGCTGTGGGTGATGAGGATGTGACAGCTTATTCAAATGCATCCTGAGGATAGCACGACTCACTTGCTTTTTCACTGTGCTTTGGTTCATAGTGTCATGATCTATAATTCGTGCAGCAACGCTTCCATCAATGTAGCACCTGCGCTGACAAGAAGTGGGGAAAACACCATAGGGACGGGTGTATTTACAGCATGTAGCAGTGCTTTGTTGTATATCCCTTGAATCCAAACATTAATGAGGCTTCACTATGGGTGTCGGGGAGTATATGGTATACAACAATACAAACTTAATCGAATATTTACAACAGTTAAACGCAGAAATTATTAACATGCTTACTTTTAATAGACTCTTTTTAAAAATTACAAACATTTACAGAGTAGCTGCTGCACTTATTACACCTATTTATTTAATATGCTGACACCTTCTATTACATTACCACTCAGAAAAAAAAAAGCATTAGTGTTGTTGCTATAGTTACTTGCAATCTAAAATAGACTGGGCTTTCATGAACATCATTGAATTGGGACTCAGAGTTGTTTGGGGGTGTCCAGATATCTGTTTTTGCCATCCCACGAGATGGCATGTTCCTGTCTCTAATGAGTTTACTTTTTAACACTGTTACATCATTGTTTTTTAGCGTCTTCTGAAATTAGGCCTCAAGAAAACTAAAAAAACAGTGTGGCTTTTTTCCTTTTTTTTTTTTTTTTTTTTTTCCTTCTCACCTTATGTTCCCTCAGCCAAAATGACTGCATCTTCTATCCTTGTGCATAACTGTCACTGATGGTTGAGACGAGAGAGAAAAACAAAACCTTGCTCGAGGAGAAATTATGAGTCAATATTAAATTCTGACTTCCTTGATCAGGCTTCCTCTGGAAGCTTTTAGAGGCACAGAAATGGAATCTGGACACTTGCCTATTTGGCCATCAAGCTTGTAGACCCAGCGGCTTTGGTCAGCTCCTGCTTCCCTTATTCTGCTTTGTTTTTAGACTTTTTGCTCGGTGCTGTGTAGTAGTAATTTTAGACATGCTCATTCCTTATTAGGAATTCGCTGCTGGTGAAATTCTATGCTGAGAAGGATGTTTACAACAGTCCAGCTGATAAAAGATGCAGATATGCTTCATTATGCCATGTTTGAATATTTAAGATGTAATGCACGTAATCGATATAATGTCTAGTTTGCTGATAGGCCAGTAGCAGTCACCAGTGACAATGTCTGTGCATCTCTTTTCTTCATACAGCTCTGTGTTTACACTGATGTCAGATATGACAGCAAATTTCTAAATGTAAAAAGCTTCATTTAAAATACTAGCACAATTGTTGTGGTCTGTTTTCCCTTATTATAGTGATATTTTTGGAAGCCTTTTATTTATTATTATTATTTAAATTTATTTTGGGACTAATATTACTGGTCGGTATAGACATTTATTGGTTTCGACATTTATATTAGCCGATAAATGAAAGTTTAAAATCTTAAGAAGATACGAGAGAAACACCCTTCAACCATGTTATGACTGATATTGCATAGTTTCTCCAGCACGGGGCAGTCTACAAATTCCCTGTTGACAACACAATAGTTTGTAACTCAATAAAAACACAACCAGCTGAACCAAGCAGAGACAGGGAGACGATAAATTAGTAAATAAATAAGTACACAAAACAATTTTGGGGGTAATCTGTTTGTTTTGTGTGTCTGAGTAAAATAAAAAGGTCCCCAGAGCTTTTGCAAAGAGGAAAAACAGTATATTGAGATGTAAGAGCATTAATCTGTTTTTTCACTTCACCCAGCTTTATATAGTTTGTTTATGGAAGCCTGTGCGCACATGTTTTGGTGAAATATTGGCTGCTTGACTCCTGACACCACCTAGTAACCAGCTTCATACTTTCCAGCAGTCTCTAACTCCTTCACCTTTAAACCTTCTCTGCCCCACAGTCAGTAGCATTTAAGCTTCCTGCAGTTTTCCATGGCGACTAAACTGCAGTCTGTGACCTAACACTTCCTGTTTTCAGATATGTGGAATGGTGTTCACCTGCTGCTTGTACAGAAGGATCAAGATGGACCCTTACTGAGCACAACGTGACCCCTGCACACCACCTTCAACAGATGGAGCATGACCTGCTGACACCTAACCAAACTTTAAATCCCTGCATTGTGATCTGATGATCTAAGCGTTGGACACACACGATAGAAACTCAGGCTCATGAGTTTCTGTTACCTGGTCTAGGCTGGATGTTTTTTGCATGCTTTAATTTGAACATGACTTAAAAAAGGGAAAGACTTAAGTTGTGTGGTATTCTATGCAACTCATGAGGGTGCGAATTTAATTGTTTTTAATTAGGAGATTTATATAGGAGTGTTTCGATAATTCCAAGTCGAATCGGCTGAGTAAGAGCACAGAGTACAAAGAAAGAAAGTTATGTGTGTGTTTCTGTCTTTTGTAAACACAATGTGCCTCTTACATAATTCTACTGGTAAATAATTATGTATAAATTCAGTGCCTGAAGTCTTGAAAGTGAGCTGTCAATACACTGTGATAAACCGCAGCAAATGAACGGAGTCATGTTTATATTTGTAGCTTTGTCTTTAATTCTAACACGTTGGCTGAGTGATGGTAATCAAAATAAACTTTGCAGTATCAATAATGCTCATATGTATGGCTACAAAGAAGAAAAAACTATTTTATTCCATTTAAGAAAGTGATAATTTTCTGTAAACGCTGCTAAATCTCTGAATTTAGAGCTCCATCTAGTGGTCAGCATAGGTAACTTGATTTGAGGATGGTAAATGTAACTGTTCATCTTTTGTGAACTTTAAGCTTTTAATACTGCTGATATTAATAGTATAATATTAATTAATATTGCTGATTGTTTTTGGTTTTTATATGCCGTTCCTCACTTCAGACGCCAATCCCCCCCCCAGTGGCTTTACAGTGATGAATATGAGTGATCTGTGAATCAAATTGAATACAGTTCCCCCTGTTTTTGCTGCCTATTATATGCCTTGCTACCTTATTATTATTTTTTTTTTCCTTGTCTTTGTTATATAGCCACCATAATATAGGTGTTTTAGTTGCTAAACAGTGGAAAATGGCTGTCTCTCTTTCAGGCTATTTAAATCTTCTACCAAAATATGACGCCATTCTCAGCACTCCACCTTCTGTAAAGGGACCTTGCAGGATTTGAGAAACCCTTTTGGAATTGCTAGACTTTCACAATTAATATTCTTAAACTGGTTTCAGCTATTCCAGTCATAGCTATAGGCCAAGACAATTTGACAAGACTAATAATGGACAAATAGTTATGTAAAAATAGTCCCAGCTTTTCATGCATTCTCTGTATGAACAACGGCTCGAGGACAGACGGAACTTTTTATTCACGCTGTGTGGACCTTTTACTGAGTGCTTGCAGGTGTTTGCCTGAACTCAACTTCATTACAATAACACACAAATCTCATTGTCTTCTGAACCTCCGTCCTCTGTGATTGCTCACACCATGCACACTGGATCAGCATGAGAAGGGGAGCAGTAATTGCTCTCTAAACGACTCTGCCACATATTTCTCTTCAGGTGTATAGAATATTAAACCTATTGACTAACCGTTCACCAGAAAATATATTTTGTAATATAATATTATACAGCTCCGGCACATGTTTTATTCATGTTCAGGACAATTTGAACAACGGTGAAATTTAATATTGGGCCACCGTTGGTACTTCTGGAACAGCTTGACTTAACAGCTGTCTTCAGGTCATGAGACATCATGTCAATTAGATGAAGGCCATAAATCTGACCTCACCATCCCATAACCTGAATTTCATTCATTTTTTTTTAGATTTTTTTGGGTGATTTATTTATGCGCTTTTGGTATTACCCAACTTTTCCTATGCTCAGGTTATGGGCTGCTGCCTCCATTATGATGCATAACAGCTGGAAATAAGTTCTGGTGTTGTTGTGCGGCTTTTTTCTCTTTGTCGTGCCGTCTCTCCCAAAAAATTCAACTATCATTTCATCTGTCTGTTGTGGATTATCCAGCTGGTGTTCAGAAATTCTTTTATAGGCTCTTTCTGCTGTATGAATCATAATGTCTTTTTTCTACCCTCCAAGGTTTGTTGAAAGTTGTCAAAAATTAAAGGAATGGCGTGTCTGGAACTAACACTTCTTTTCTCATGTCCTTAACTAAAACACCTGACTCCAAGTAACTTTTGGACAAGTCAGGAGAAGAGGTATTTACTGTAGCACTTTAAGTAAATTCGATTATCCTTGTCTAAAAGTGAAGATGAGAAATTAAAGGACAAATCCTGAAGATTTCAATAGTTCATAAACTTTTTTCCCCCCCTACTTGTATGTTGTTTTCCTGATTAAAATTTTGGATGCTTATATATGTAACTGGTTGTTGATGATATGACACTGGCACGTGCTTCAACTACTGACTGTTTTCTTTGAAATGTGGCTCTAGAACTCAAAAATAAATGTTTAAATGTTGCATTTAAACAACTGTGTTGTATTCATAAAAGGGTAATATTAACACTCTGTTTGGACAGATGCCTATGATGCTGTGATTCCAGCTTTGTGTTAGTTGATGTGATTAATTAGTAATTTGTTATTTATCTAGACCAGAATCATACGTTTATCCCAGAGAAATCTATCATTTTTGCAGCATATGTTTGAATTACACCATATGCATATATCCAAGAAAAACGTAAGCTTAGGTAAAAGTAAAAGAAAATCCACTAGAGGGAGACAAAGATTTATCATTTGAAGAGATGCAAACTTGCACAACTTAGTGTTGACCCGACTGAACCCTTTTGGTTTTGCCATATGTTCAGAGTGGCTTTCTCACACATCAGTAGATACTGCTACCTGACTCACTTCTAGTCTTTGAAAAGATTGTTTTGACAGGACCTCAGAAATCTGCCAAGTTGGAACTAACACATTTGATGTAAACTGCAGGTCTCTTTTGTGCGTTAACCACTGATTGAATTGCAAACTCTGATACCCGTGAGAACTAAACACTGCTCGGCTACTTACTGTAACAGATGAGCACAAACAGTGCCTGCTGATTATACACACATCAAATTCACTTTACTCTTCAATTAATCTTCTCATTATGGTTTTACAGCCATGGTTTTGGGCGGTTTTGTAATCTTGTCCCTTTGTATTTAATCTGTGCATTGTAGTAAATAAAGAGTCAAAGTCTTGCAAGATAATGTGAGCTGGATGGACATCTTACTTTGTATATAATGTGTGAGCTCAAGTACGAGTGCAGTGGGAAAGCTTTTGTTACGTGTGGGGTCTTCCACAATTCCACATCGGAAAAATCTCGTAGCGTTCCCAGCTGAAACCGCATTTATTTGCGGCGCAGCACTTGTGCATGTCTGTGTGGTTTTAGGCTATTGTTGAGGAAAAATCTCCATATCTTAAAGAACTGTGCCATGCACATAGGATATTTGTGCGTTATTGTTTGTGCTATATTGCTGCCATATGCTCAAGCTCTTTGTCTTTGAGGCACCAGCTTCCCCCTTTCTCTTCGTTGCCCTGCTCCAGATTACTTACAAGACGCTGCGCCAGTTCAGGGCGATCTATCATTGTCACCCATTTAGGAAAAAAGTTTTAAAAAGAGTTTGGATGTTCTCCAACATTTTGGCTTCGGCGAGCCTATAGAAAGTGTCAGTCCCTTTGTCTTCATCAACTATAGGAGGGTGGCTCTCATTTCCTGCAAATGTCACACATGCTACAATGTAGAGACACTGACAAGACAGAAACACACGTGCACGCACACAACCAAGAGGCTATACGCATTAGCATGCCGTCTGTACCCTTTGCCAGAAAACACCCATGAGGGAGAATTGGGAGCAGCTGGAGATTCACCACTCCCCATGTGTTGAGGCCTCTTTGCAACACAAGGACAAATACACACTGCTTATATCCTCTCTACCTATCACATTGTAGCCATAGGGATGATATTTCAGCAAGACGTCTTAAAGTTACCTAAGAACACATGTTGCAGTCTCATTTATCAGTGGACCATGAATGCGTGTTTGCATGTACAAGGTAACACTGAAATACTGGCAGTGTTGCTCACAGAAGAGCATGTGCACCCTTGCAAATTAGCCTGACAGCACACATTTAACATTTCTTAGGATGCAAGGTATTTGTTGAGCACTCATAAAAAAAATAATTTAAAAAAAATCTGGTGCAACCACTTTTGCCTCAAGAAATACACCTGTGTTCAATATGTGCAGAAATACTTAGTTGTGGTAATTAAATGCTGTGGTCCTTTTAGCATAATAGATGTACACAGAAAGAACTTCTGTAACACATTTTGTGTTCACTGGAACATCCCCAAAGGTCTGGTTAGAGATTTGTTTTTCCTGAGGACCGTAAGCATTTTCTGATGAAGTAAAACTGAGATTGTGCTTTTGTGCAAGGCCTGGTCTTTAAAGACTAAAAAGAAAACCTGAAATGATTAAGACTCAGGTCAGAGTAAGACACACTGCTAAAAAGTTCAATCAAGGGGTGTGAAAGTCCTCAGTTATCTGCACACAAGGAGAATGCAGTATTCACAGACCGTATCTTGTCTGTAACAACAAAGTCCCAAAGAGCGATCATCTTACAGCTTAACACATCTCAGCATGGTGTGCAGTGTGTCCTTAAAAAATTTGAGGGAACTTGAAAAATCTATGTACAGGAACAGCATGTGAAAGTCATGTCCTGAAAAAGTGTGTGTGTGTGTGTGTGTGTGTGTG